GTTATTGATTAGTAAATGCAATGTTTTCCCTTTAAAGGGCCCACATCGTAAATTTTGTTTTTTCACCCTGAGATTCACTTGCAACATTTGTGTGGTTTTATGTAGCAAAAATTCATTCATTCATTTTTACATGATCATTTTCCAACTTCTCTTTATCCCTCAGAACAGATCGGCAACATGGGGACCCGGAGCTCCACAGCAGAATTAGGTTTTTAGGTAAAAATAAAATAATCCTCCTCAGCAATAAAATAAAGCCCTGCTGATCGTTCTAAAACAGTTTTAACAATAAATGGTCTTACGTGCTGGCCTTAATGTATAGCTGCTAATTCACCTTTTAACCCTAAAGTTTGGCACACAGACTGCAGGTTTACCCAGCAACGCAGTGCCTAGCTAGTAGATAATGAAACGGCAAAGAGAAACACAGACAATTTGGAGACAAATGGACTTTTTTTGCATTTATATGCACTCCAGCTGGTTTTCTGATACATTTAATCTGCACAGAGAAACTGTCAAACACAAAAATTTGCAAAGCTAAAGTCAACTTCTCGTTCACCAGCTTCTTGTTCTTATTTTTCACGTTCCACCTTAAATGGTGCAACAGTTAGCTACATAGTTAACTACATTCTGGCTCCTCAACTTCGTAAACGGTCAAACGTTAAGAGACATTTTACAAGAAACTATTCTACTTTTGTGGAAAAGTATCCTGCCAGAGATGCGAGAAAAGCAGCTATAGCTGAGCTAAAGCTTAAAGCAGAGCAAAGTCTACATTTTGTTTGTATTATATATTTAGCCTATATGAGGACATTAGCACATACTGAGACATATTTACAGTCAAGATGTTAAAATGTTACTTTAATAAAATGGACATGAAATGTTGTGGCTCCCGAAGTGGTTTGATTTTTGTTGAAACTTGACAAAATGGCTCTCCTTTGGGTTGCCGACCCCTGCCTTAGAAATACTGTGTTTTTAAGATGGCACTGGGTCACTGTGTCTTTAAGATGGCTATGTGCAAATGTGCTGTTCTGGTTGGCTCCTTATAACTTTAGCATGAATGAGTGGGGCTAAACTGCTATAGGCAAATATAGGTGGATATATGTAACTGAGTTTTTGTGACATCAGACTGTGTGGACTGGGACGGGAGTGCTTGTTAAGTTTTTAAAATTTAACAATGTTTACATACAAAATGAACCTTTTATTTAGTGAAGAAAAGAAATGTTCATAATATGGGCCCTTTAATGTGCTAATATTACAATTTAATAGCTACTATTATTATTCATAGTATGAGTATTATTACACAACTTCCACTGAAAAACTGTAATTCCACGTTTAGAGCAAGAGGAGGTAGTGCAGAGTCAGAGTCGAGTTTATTTACAGTTTACTCTTCCTCTTCATGCGTCCAGACTGAGAAAGCTGGACTTTGGCCTGGACTGAAAGCACCAGCCATTCATCTAGAAAGGAACTGCTATTGATTGAGTGCTTTAATAACAGCGAGTTATTGTTCTCTCAGAGGATCGGCTACACAGAGCTGGAGAGGACACTTAAGAGACGCCATTCACTTTACATGACTGCTCTCAGGCTTTGTCTCGCTGTTAATAAGTGTTTAGGCATTGAAAAACACTAGAATTCAATGTCAGTGTTCACTATACCGGCATCACCGTAGTTGTATAGGAATGATATTGTGAATAATAAATCACTCTAAAAATCACATGGTTGGTATATATGAATTAGGCCGCTCAGTTTCCTTTAATCTTCTATGACAATCATTTCTGGTCCTGGCGATGAATACTAAAACACACATGAAATGTGGCTCATATCTCGCTATAGATTAAACCCATCATCAAACACTTCCAGCACAATCTAATTCTATTAAGTCCCTCCATTCATCTTGGCTGGCACTGCTTGGCTGTTGAAATAGGGGGCCAGTATGATGGATTCAATCAGAGCGCTCTTTGAGAAGAGTTTGACAGCAGTGTTTTCCTTTTTAATTAACTGCAGCAGAGTCACCCCCCCCCCTTCTTTTTTTCCCACCAGAAAGCAACAACGTAAGACAGAGAGACAAAGAGCGAGAGAGAAAGAGAGAGAGAGAAAGAGAGAGAGAGAGAGTGTCCAAAACACTGATAGATCTCCGAGGAGTCCAGTCACAACAAAGGACATGCTCACAGACAGATAAAAAGACATCATTACCCACCAGAGATAAGTAGACGGTGCGGGTGGGGGGGGATTCAATTAGCCGGCCTGCGTTAGCCCCACCCTCTGCGCTGGTGGGATGGCCTGTTGAGGGATCGGGACCGTTCCAGTGAAACCGGGAGGCCTCTGGTTCTCAGAGCGAGCGCTTTGGAAAGCTCCTCCGCTGTGGTCTCTCATGGCTATCTGCTCAGCCATCACTGCTGCATGTTCCCCTGGGGAGAGAGGGCCTGTGTATTTGTTTGGGGGGGTTAATGAGGGGGCTGGACAGTTTTGCTGGTTGTAAAGAGCTGCTAATTTGGCTGGTGCCGAGACGGGACAGCTTTGGGTGGAAACTGTGGGATGCTCTGGCCTTTGAGATGCTCATGGGTCCCCTGAGTGCTGAGTGGGCGGATCCCCCTCTCTCTCCTGCTCTGTTAATCAAGCCCCTCTCTCTCTACGGCCCTCCAAAGTCGAGGGCCCTCGCTGAGTGCCCAGCTATTAACCTCCTGAGAACATTAGAGAGGGAGATTCGACAATAACTGGCAGCGCTGTAAATCTCAGACCACACAACCTTCAGGAAATGATTCAATGCATCATGCTGTGTTAGTAACCACTCCCTGTTACAGAAACTGTGGACTATGCAGAGTGCCAGCCATTCTTAGTAGTGTTTGAATTCTTAATGACAAACCCTGCTGTCGTTCTGTGGTCAATCCCCTGTATGCTCACTTTGTACTGAATAAGGTATGAGTGCACCAGTGGAGCATATCGGACACAGCTCCAAACATCACCATTCAGTTCAATTTATTTTGGTAGGAGAAACTATTTACTATACACAGTAAAGTGAAGCCACTTGGCTGCCATGTTGGAACTCCTTAAGTTGTAAAACTCTTGTTAATGGATGTAAATTTGGAACATATTTGGCTGTTTCATAAACTAATTTAACCTAATCTAGACTGATCTATTATTTTTTATTTCAGGTATCTGAAAAAGGCTTGGACAAAAAATAAACTGTCTATTGGTCATTTTTTAAAACGTTTTTTGGCAGAGTGTGCAACCTAGAACTGCAGAGAATGCACACATGCATGTGACCTATGCAATAACTAACTGCACATATATGAATTACAATATCTGAAAGTGCCCTGTGTAAGAACATGGTATAGTTTAACTAGCCCTTGGCTGACTGGCTCAGCAGACAGCTCAGATAGGTAACAAGCTAAGAAGCTCCTTCAATAATACTCAGAGTGAAGCTAAAGTTAAAATATTTACTGAACTCACTGAAAACTGTGAAGCAAAGTGAAGAATATCACTGCTGTCAGAACAAAACTAAAAAATATCCAACTTTCCAGGAGAAGGGCAAAAGATATTTAAGGTTCAGCGTAAGATAATATTAGATTAGATTTGTTGTGAAATTTTGACAAAATGTAAATGGCAGCTGGTATATTTCAAATTATGTAAAAATATGAAAAATAACAAAAATGAGAGATGGTTTTGTTCCTACAGTGACGACATACAACATGCATCTCTTACCAGTTAAAACGCCCTCATTCGTGTAAAGCTGCCATTAACAGCATTAAATCCAGCGTGGAGAAGTGAATGTAAGCCTCAGTTAATTATAGCTAACATAATTTAGTGATTCCCATAGAAAAGCTAGAGAAGCTAGCATTAATTAGATTGTGATGTGTATATATATATATATATATATATATATTTATATATATATATATATATATATACACACATCACAATCTTCCAAAATATGGACTGTTTTGAATTTATATGGGGGGATATGGGTTTCTTCCATTGTTTACTTTTTGGGGGCTGTGTTAAAGCTAACCCCGCCGTGTGGAGGCTGTACTTTAGCCTGGCGAGTTCTCACTGAGAGTTGCTTGTATGCTTCAAAATGATGGCTGTTTTACAGACACCAAGTGGGGGATTAAACAAAATAGGTGAGAATTCTGAAATAAAACTTACTTTAATGGGGCAAAAACTGTTTTAATGGTGAATCTATCTGCAGAATCTGGTTAATTGCATAAAAGGCAGTTACATTTCACCCCACAAAAGGTTTTGCCCTGCTCTCCTCTAAAGACAAAGGCAATACAAGTAACTAATAATAATCTAACATTAATTGACCAATTTATTTACTAACTAGTTGAATTTCTGTTTTAAGATCAACACGTCATGATGCACCGATGCATTTTAACTCCACTTTGCTTCTCCTCAGGTGGTTGTCTAGTGTAAAGGCCTCATTTTACCAATGACCGTGCTTTTCTGAGGGTCCGCATATCCTGACATTGCTTATTTCTACACTAAATGAGAGTAAAAATAACCATAATAATCAGGTTCTGTTTAACCTTGGCTAACTTGTAACTCCTCAGACAACAAAAAACTTGCCAGCTTGCTGTTAAAACCTGACCCCTGGTGACACATTACTGGCTGAGGTACAGTCTGTCTCCTTAACAAGCCAAAGTCCTCAGTGGGCAGCATTAAAGCTCATGTTCGGCTGCTAATGGAATGTGTTTACTTACTCATGAGCTTCCTGCTTTGGTGGAGAATAACTTCCTCCAACAGTGCGCTCACCAGTGAGGGCCTCAGCTGCCATCCAGGAAAATCAGCATTATATAGGAATCCCTGATTAAAAGCCAGAGCTGAACTGATGCTAGACTAAACAGTTATATTTGGGATGACGCTGAAAAGGGCAGGTCATAAAGCTCAGTTCAGTAAACAACAGCAGAGCTTTCTAATAAAGCTGTGTTTGCACGTCTCTGAGTGATGCACTGTTAGCAGGTAAATGATTGACCTCAGCCGAGCCGCAGACAGCTGGGCGTGTGCGTTTTGTGGCAATGTTCATAAGACTTTCCTGGTTCAGAGTGAAGCAGCAGTGCAGTAAACATCATCGGGAGCTATTATTCAACTGCAGCAACAGTTTATATAGAAAACAGTTCTTTTTATTTATTACTACTGTAAAAGGGCTGAGATGGGTAAAGCGGTCACTGTGCTTCTTTGGCTATTGCTGATGCTGGGAGCAGTTTCAGCTCAAGGAGGTAAGAGCTCTTAATAAATATACTTTCATTCTTTAAAATTAAGGTTTATAAAGGGTTCTTGGATTTTTGAGTCTATGAGAAAAGTGATTTCTTTTACATTGTACGCAGATTCTTTAGAGTTCCATTTACAGAAATGGTTCTTTAAAGAACCATCCAATAAAATGGTCTTTAGATAAGCAATCATTGCTCTCCAAAAATGAGGCAAAAAATGTTAATGAAAATTTTAATGTAAGTTAATATAGAGAAGTTTACATTTAAGAATTTGGGGGCTTTTTTATTGGTCCATTCAGTGTTTAAGGGGTGTAGAAAAATAAAAAAGCAATAAAAAAACTGTTTTGCTCGTGGCAAAATTATTTTTGAGACTTTTACTGAGTTTAACACATTGAAAAAATCAATTTAAAATACAAAAATGTGCCATAACGTTTGCACAAGCCACATTTTATGTTCTATTTTCCCTCAATACATTAATTTCAGCAAATAAACAGTAATTTTCCATTAAAATGTACAGAACAGTGTTCACTGTAGAGGTCATTCTAACTTATCTTCACTCAGAAAATCAACAGAACATGCCATCTGATTTCAGGGTGCCCAAATTAGAAAAATCTGCCATAAGACTGTAAAGAATATCTGAACATGATTAAAGCAAAGACTCTTAAAACAGCAGCAGAAAAAGCAGCACAGTAGTGTATAGGAGGTGCTTATTAGTGGTCACTTGCTTTAGGATTACCCTTTTACCTTAAGCAGGGGTCTTAAAATCTTAAGCGTAAGAAATTTTTTGACAGTTCTGCAATTTAAATATGTAAATCTACAGCTTTAAATTGACCCCTGAAGCATTTAAACAGTTAATATATTTTTAAACAAGTGACCAATATCTGACCTCAGTGATTTGATTCACATTAATGATTCTTAAGGAAATGATTCAATTCATCATGAAACCTCAGAAGTCGACACGATTTACTTTATATAATTTCATATAATGAGTTATATTGCTTCTAAAATTACAAACTCGATTAATCTCAATGTGGTTTTAAATCTCTAGTGTTTACACATGATCAGGTTCCTCTTTTATCTTTGCATCTTTTCAGCACTTCAGCATTCACTGTCCATCTCTTTTACCTTATTTAAAATGTGATTGTCTCAGAGGGTCAATACAGCATTGATGCACTGTTGAGGAAAGTGTTGTTCATCCAAAGTTTAATCAACTAACACTGTTATTCATGGACTGATTAATACAGACAGGTGGTGAACTTTCTTACTTGAGTTGCTGAAAAAGGCTTAATGAGTAATATTGTCTATTTCATTTTTGCATTTTTATATATATATAAACATATATATATATATATATATACACACACACACACACACATATATGCAAAACACTTTGAGTCGTCTTTGTGTATGAATTGTGCTACATAAATAAACCTGCCTTGTCTGTACTCCTAATCTCTCAGAGGCAGCACAGCAAGCTCTCCCGAACTGGCTGACGGGAATCGTAGCCGTGGCTGTCTTTCTCTTCCTGGTCTTTGTCGCTTTTCTCGTCAACAAAGCCTGGTGTGACACTCCAAGGTAATCAATTGATCAGTGAATTAAACCTGCAGCATTTTCTCATCTCAGTAAATCAATCACAGAAACTGCTGCTGGAACACGGCTGTATAGAGCGCTGACTAAAGCCCCATCAGCATCCTTTAATGTATAAATTTAGAGAGCTGCATCTTATTCATTTTAAATGACATTTATTCTTTATTAATGTGAACAGTCACACTGTCCATATAGTTTTTATGATATAACTGAGCTAATATTATCAGGGTGGCTAATTCATCTTAGTCTTTCAAAACTGTTTTGATGGCTAAAACAACACAGCCTGAAAACTCAACAATACAGTGACTCTAAATAAAAAGCACTACAACTCATCATTAAGTGGAACAGCGTTCTTATCAATGTTCTGTAAAGCTTGTCTAATCTTGAAGCTGTTTCTGTGGAAGACAGTCTAGGTGGGTGGAGCATGGATTGGTCAATTAAACGTCCCATATTTTACTATTTTATTACACTTTATTTCCCTCCCTGAGGTCCATTTATGATGTTTGTGCAGTTTTATATACCAAACTCATTTTCCAGCCTCTCTTTATCTCCTACACTCTAAGATCGTTCTTCAAGGGTTGTTTAGTAAAGACAATGGTTCTGTGTAGAGCCATGAACACTCAAAGAACCCTCTGCATGTTTAAATGGTTCTTTGCATCATGAAAGCGTTCTTCGGACTGATGAAGATTTGCCATGCTGTACTATGTAGGTTCCATATAGCACCAAAAAGCTATGTCTACTGTTACAAGCTTGACATTGTCGCAATAGAAGAACCTTTTTAGGTGCCATATGGAACCATGTTCAAAAAGGTTCCATACAGAACCATCTACAGCACATTCTCCATCAATCTGAAGAACTCTTTTATAATGCAAAGAACACTTAAATCATGCAAAGGCTTCTTTCAGCGGTCATGGTTCTACACAGAACCATTTTCTTTACTAAAGAACGCTTGAAGAGCCATCTTTTCAAAAAGGTTCTACATACCATATTCAACACATTCTCCATCAGTCTGAAGAAGCTTTTCACCATGCAAAGAACCATTTAAGCATGCAAATGGTTGTATATAGAACCACTGTCTTTACTAAAGAACCCTTAAAGAACCAACTTTTTTAAGTGTAGAAGTGTAGAGTGTAGAATTAAACATGTTGGTTACTGCTATAAATTATGTGAATGAGGTCTGTTCTGATTGGATGTCTTGTATTGTGCCTCACTCAAAAATCAGTCTGAGTGTTAACACTGTATAACTTCAGTGAGAATGGGTGGAGCTAAACTGTTATGTACTTGGATATGGATTCTCTGACATCACAAACACAGAGATTCAAAGTGGCTGTTTTTGCAACTTGGTTTCCATATATCACTGCTGCTGGAACAAAACCTTGTCTCCATTTTGTAATTTTTCAGTTTTTGTCATTATTTGAAAATGTCCATTACACGGTGTGTAAATTTCATGATGAATGGACCGAAAGCAACAACCCAAAATTACTTGAAAAAAAATCTGGTTCCATTGACTTGCATTAAAAGTAAAGTAGGTTTTTTCCTTTCCCTGTAAAAGTTGTCATTTTGGAGATACAAGGTTTTGTTCCGACAACAGCGATATAGACTGGAATTGAAATTAAGTGCACATTTTAACAACATTAAACTACATTAAACTCTTTTATGAAAAAAAACAAGAACAGTTTGTTTTTTCTTGACATGGGCTTTTTGAACTAAAACTTCAAAAGGGTTTTTTTGAATTAGACTGATATAGAGGCTGAAACTACTGAATAAATCTCGTTTTCTCATTTGTTTCTCAGTACGAGCCAGGAGCTAAAGTGTGAGGTGACCAGCAATGAATATTCAATGACCAACGGCACAAACCTGGACTCAGTCAGGTGAGAACTAAAGCTCACTTGCACATTTTTGAATGTGAGCCTCTTTCTGGGCCATTTCCTCAGTTCACACCAATGAAGTGCTTAATTCTCAAAATGAATGATGTTGGGTTCTTCTGGGTTTCAGGAGCAGAGAGCACTACGAGGCTTACGAGAATGTGATCGTCCACAAAACTGAAACAGAAAAAGTTACTGCCATGTGAATCTGAGAGATCAGTGAGACAGTAACACACATATGTGGACTTTCCACACATAACAGATCCAAATATGACTCTTGCACACACCACACTGGTTTCTACCGGATAATTAATCACTGTACTGAATGCATAGACACACAGCACTGTGCAAAAATCAGAGACCAGCCTTTGTTTATTTACTTTCCACCCAAAACAATCATTAAGTACAAGCTATTCATTTTTCAGGAGATATTTCTGAGGAGATTAGATGTAAGATAGTCCAGGTTCACAAGAAAGGAGAAAGCCAAAGCAACAAAAAGATGGAGCTCAGAAATGATTCAAAGCTACAGAGAAAATGAGACTCCTAACCACCACCTGGAAGACCTGGTAGACACCAAAACTACACCATCAGATAAACAGCACTTAAAGCTTTCATCTTTGAGAGAGAGGAGAAAATCAAGCTGCTTCAGATCTGAAAACATCCACAGGTGTTTCTGTCCATCCTTCCACTGTGAGAAGACGACTCAGCGCTATGGGTCTGAAAGGATGTGTAGCTGTTCAAGAACACTGCACTGACCACCCCAGAGTCCAGATATCTAAATTACTCAATGTGTTCAAGATTATTTGGATCATGAGAAGAAGAAAATGCAACCAACACTGAACTTGGTGTAAGACTTTACTTAAAGGGTGTCTAAACAATACATTCATAACATCTTACATAAACACTTCATAACATGTTCATGAATGTTTAAATTTCCATTTATAAAATATACATGTTTTACATGATATTGATATAGGCTACCACGTCATTTTACTGAGAGACATTTTTCAAAATAAAAGTCCTAATTTTTTATTTTTAAAAATGTATGTTATTTTCAGTAAACCACCTCATTTCTTGACAGCCAAAATAAAAATGACCTCACTTTATCCCTTTGGTTGTTAAGTGCTTTGACACTACGGCACGTTTCATCTATACTTTCAACTTCTTTTTTAATGATGTTTTTTCTTAAGCATGTGTTGCTTTGCATGTTACTTTACTACATGGACAGTAAATTACTCATAAATATGCTTAGGAACCATCATTTGACTGAATCTTAGTGTGGTGGTGTGCCTAAGAGTCAAAGCACTCAATGACCAAAGAGATAAAGCGAGGTCATTTTTATTATGGCTGTCAAGAAATGAGGCATTTTACTGAAAATGATATACTTTTTCAAAAATAAATAAATAAATAGAAAAAAATTTATTTTGAAAAATGTCTCTCAGTACAGTGACATGGTAGCCTATATCAAAATCATGTAAAACGTAAATTTTATAAATGGACATTTAAACATTCATGAACATGTTATGAAGTGTTTATGTAAGATGTTATGAATGTGTTATTTAGACACCCTTTAAGTGTTGCCGAACTTTGCACATGTGAAAAAATATCCCTGCAGATTTCTTCAAAAACTGAAAGCAAATCTCCTGAAAAGACAATGAAAACTGAAATAAAGGCAGAGTGGACACACCGAATATTGAAAAATCTGATATTATATTGAGTTGCTGAGATTTCTGTATAGTTTGTGTGTTTTAATAGTGTGGTCTCTGACTTTTGCACAACACTGTACATGCATTATTATTTTTTTATACAAAAAAGTAAAGAAGCACTTTTTATTTCATTGTTGAATTGCTTGCTGTATGTGTCTCAACATGGCTATTCTGGAATGTGAAAATAATCAATGATCATTTTCAAAATGTGAAAAGTTAAAATTGTATATTTCTTTGAATTACTGTATCTTGCTACACATTAGAATGTAAAGATTACTGATACCTTTGTACAAAAGTTTTCAATTAAAGTCACAACTACAGAACGTCTTGTGGGTCAATGTCTTCAAGCTGACCTGAAATCAACATTTTATCTTGTTAGTTCATGTCTCTGGTTAAGCACGAGTCATAATATCACACATTTTAAAAGACAAAATGCTTGTTTTCCTGTGATCTTCCACATGTAGGGCCTCTAAAACGTTTTCTGAGCTGTTTGCTGCATCAGTGGGCGAGGAAATTATTATTACAATAATATTAATGTTGTTAATGTAATGTTATGGACAATAATACAATGTAATAATATACTAATATTATGTATAATAATATCATGTTTCACCTTCCCCTCCTACCACCCCCACTTATCACAGAGAGAAAGGTAACCCTTTATTTTGATGGTCTCCTGAAGATGTTTTGTAGAAGCTTGGTTCATCTTTAAACAACATTCAGCCAAATATCTATTAAGTGAAAGTGAACTTGAAGTCAAGTTGACAGATTCCATTACATCAAACACTGCTCATAAACCTAACCATAACCATAAACCTAACCATAACTATAAACCTAACCACAACCATAATGTTGCTGATAATCAGTCGAGTATCACCAGCACATTTGTTAATAATTAAGTATCTGTAAATCATATAATGGGGATCATCAAAATAAAGCATGACTGAGAGAAACACTCAGCTCAGAGACCCTCCATGATATTGTGTTTCACTCAGAAGTGGCACAGAAAGAGTGTTTATGATTTACAATTCACACTGACTTTAAATGCAAATGATGTTATTCACATATTCACATCATCTCAAATGTATCTGTTCTACATATTTGATTACCTGAGTTCAGAGAAGTCTACAGTCGTTATTCAGAAATGTAGATAAATGCATCTCATCTGTGCATTAGAACAGTGAATACTTCTGTTTTACATTACAGGAAAATAATCAGATCAGTAAATCTGTCACAGCCACTCAGCCTGACTAAGAACATAATCAGACGACTCACATAAATCTGATAAATACAGACGGTGACAAATTAAAGGAGCTGAAAATTTCCTATTAATGTGTTGGGCCACCATGAGACACTAGAGCAGCTTCAATGGGACTCATCATAGACTATATCTTATCTATATAGAACTATGAACACTACACTCCTAAATAAGATGGTTTTTCAGGGGTTCTTTAGTAAGGATAATGGTTCTATATAGAACCATGAACACTCGAAGAAACATTTGCATGCTTAAATGGTTCCTCTCATGGTGAAATGGCTCTTCAGACTGATGGAAGATGTGTTGCATATTTTTCTACACAGTAGCTTTTTGAAAATGCTTCCATAAAGGCCCAAAAAGGGTTACATATAACACCAAAAAGGTCAAGCTTGTAACAACAGAAGAGCGCTTTTTGGTGCTATATAGAACCCTTTTCAAAAAAGTTCTATATACACACTTTAAAAAATGGTTCTTTAGTAAAGAAAATTGGAAAGCAAACATTTCTTGGAATGTTTCCAGAGCGGTGCTAATAATCCTAAAAAAATCTACACGCCTGTCTGTAAATAATAAATAAATGAGGAAAATGCTTGCTGTGTAAATGTAGTTATCAGGTTTATTAGAGCATCTCATGATCTAATAACATGGATCTGAACATGGTTTCTTTGGAATTGGAAAACATTACACTGATCATTTCACAAAGACCGACCAATGAAGTGGACATTTCCAATGTCCAGTTGAACACGTAGCATTAGGTTGTTCTGCATTTGTAGTAAAAGGTAATCAGTCCTGTTTCGTTTGTGCACATCCAGAATCTACACAGTAAAAAAAAAAAGGGGAACCTTTACATGGAGGGGAGATGAGAGAGAGAGAGAGAGGTTTAAAGGGACTCAGCTCGGTTCTCAGCATAGAGAACACAATACGGTCTTTACATGGAAGATCTGTTATGGTAGAAGACTGCAGGTTTTGATGGAGGCACACTATGAGATGAAAATGGCTGCTTCACTCTGAAGAGCCATGTTGGGAAACCCCTCCATCACTGTTACTACCAGTCCTACAGGGAGAGAACACAGGACTGATAACTTAAAGAAATACTCCGATGTTTTCAACATAATCTCTGACACATCCTCTACCACACAGTCGATTACCATCAACAATAATGTCAATGCGTTTCCCTGTACAGACTCCAAACTCATGACTGAAGCCAGTGGGCAGCCGCTGAATTCCTTCAGTAAACATGTATGTGAAACATTGCTTTGTAGAGCTCTTTCGTTAATTTGATATGCTGCTTTTCATGTTATGTAATATTCTGTAGTGCATTATCCTCTTAGTGTATTTATCCATCTATAACCAGCATGCATTACTCAAAAAGGTCAATTATTGGAAACTCCCAGAACGACTGCTAGCATAGCTTTTGATGAAGTTTTACTGCCCTGTTGTGGCTCCACAGCAGAACTAGATTTCTTTTTTTTTTTTAGGTAAAAATAAAATAATCCTCCTTTACAGTAAAATAAAGCTCTGCTGATCGTTCAACACAGTTTAACAATAAATGCTCTTAAACACTGGAGTTGTTTAAATATCTGCTAATTCACCCTTTAACCCTGAAGATTAGGGCGCAGACTGCTGATCATCATAGCAATGCAGACAGCAATCTTGCCTAGCTGGTAGGTAACGAAACGGCAAAGAGAAAGATTTACGATGAACATTGATAATTTGGAGACGAATGGACTTTTTTGCATTTCTAATCACTCCAGCTGGTTTCCTGATACGTTTAGTCAGCAATGAGAAATGGTCAAACACTGAAAAGTCACAAAAATGAAGTCAGCTTCTCATTCAAATTGTCCCGTTCCACCTTAAACAGTGCAGTAGTTCCATTCTGGCGCCTCAGGCACCATTTAAGGTGGAACAGAAAAATTCGAACAACAAGCTGGTGAAGAAGAAGCTGCCTTCAGCCTCGTAAGAAGTCAAACATGGAGGGACATTTTACATGAAAATGTTCTCCTTTTGAGGAAATGTTTCCTGCTGGAGATGTGAGAAAAGCAGCTATAGTTGAGCTAAAGCTTAAAGCAGAGCAAAGTAAGTCTGTGTTTTCATTTGTATTTTTTAGGCTATACTAGGACATTAGCACATACTGAGACATACTTACATCTGAGACATGTAGATATTTACAGCCAAGATGGTAAAATGGACATAAAATGTTGTGGCTCTCAAGGTGGTTAGGTTTTTGCTGAAAGGACAAAATGGCCTGTTCTAGCCATTAAACCCTGCAGGAGGTAAGTAGGCAAGCTCCCATCTGATCGTGCACAGGCACCTGAAAACTAAGACAGTGAATGTAACAGGAATTGTTGATCTTGTGTAAGAAAGTCAGATAGAACTTCATCAGAACAGCTTTGCTAAGACGTTCTCTCGTCTACTTCATGCCAACACTTGTACTGTAGGACTGCAGTGCTTGAAGTTTTGTATTTGTCATATATTTAACATTTATACACAGAATCCAGTGACTTTCCACTCACTTCTAAGTATTTTCTCAGTGAAGAGGTTTTCTGTTCTGTTCCAAGTTCAGGTAAATGTACCAAAATAAATGTCTGTGGTAGCTGATGGTACAATACAGATGAGCCAGACAGAGACTAGGCTGAAAAACGCCGGAGTCTTCCTTTAAGATCATTCGGAATCACCAGATTCAGTGACGCTTGCAAGTCATAACGAAGTTTGTGCTAAGGTGCTTTGAGGGAACTCACTCAAATTAACGTATCCCTGCTCTGAAACATCTGATTCAGGCCATGCGCTCATCATAAAGCCCTACATGAGTTCAATCCAGAAGGCTGGAGAAGGGAAAACATGGACTTAAGGCCCAGCAGCTTCAGTCTGCAAGCTCTGACTAGAGCCTCCCCCGGCATTTGCTTTGACCTTGAGGTCATTAGAGTGTCTTGCAAGAATCTGGCACACTTCCTTTTTGAAGAGAGGGAGTCCAGCTGACACAGGATTTCCTCACATTGTGGGATACATACACACACACACACACACACACACACACACACAAAGCAGGATATAGGAACCATCTTCATTAAGACTTTTACAGGAAAACTAGTTCAAATGTCCAACAAAATTAAACCAAATTAAGGAAATAAATTACATATTTACACTGATGAGATCTGTGATCTGGTAATAGTTTGTGTAAGAAAAAAAGATGCATAAAAAATGCATATAATTTTCAGTCAACAGACTTGATTAATCAGTTATTACGCAGGACAGCTGCTTTTAAATTATCCTATTTTACTATTTTCACTATGAGAAATCACAACATTTCTAATTGTTCATAAACAGTACAAAAATGGAGAATATACAGCATCAACCTAAAAAAAGGACTAACAAATACAGCAGACTGAAAAATCAAACAACAAAATGAATGGAATTTCCAGTTTGATTTAAGAAAGGTCAGTTACACTGCCACGCCGTACTATATCATATATCATCACTGTCAGAACAAAACCTCATCTCTCAATTTTTATTGTTTTTTATTTTTATAGATTGTGAAACACCTGCTGCCCAATGTGTTAAACCTTCTCACTAACAGAAATGCTCTAAAATCTTGTTTGAATGTTGTTTGTTTTGTTTTTGTTATGATGGTGATGACATTTGTGTCATTTTTTTACTTTTTGTATGACTTAAAAACTCTTTGCATTGTGTTAAAAATTCACAACAATGAATGAACCAACAGGTGCTCAAATCTCCAAACTAGTAAGTTTACAGGAGACGGTAAAGACATTCTCAACGTTTAACGGATGTTAATGTAAAGCGAATTTGAAATTGGTCCATTCATCATAAAATTTTCACACAGCATAAAGGGTTTTCTAATTATCCAAAAAAGTTACAAAATGACAAAAATCGAGAAAAAAGTGTCCCGACAGTGATGATATATATATATATATATATACACTATACAGTACAGTACAAAAGTCTAAGGCACCTGAGAAAATGAAAAAGCTGTTTATCTGGGCGGAAATAATTTTTCTTCTATATCATTGCTGTCCAAAGAAAAACAAGTATCTCCAAAATGGTAACTTTACAGGAGAGAGCAAAAACGCCCTAACGTAAGTTAATGTAAAGAGATTGTATTCTAACTGATTTTGGGGCATTTCTATTGGTCCAATCATCATGAAATTTTCACACAATGTAAAGAAGAACTGTCATGTTCAAATGACGTAGAAATATAAAAATCGGCAAACATGGAGATACATGTGTTTCTTTGGACAGTGACGATATGTTAATGTATTCATTTAACTGTTTCCAAACTTCGCCTCATGACAGCCCAGTATTATTTGGAGTTTTCATCACACACCTGGTCTGGCTTAAGCAATACTTCATTAAATTAAAATCAGGTGTACTGATAATGGTATTTAACAAATTCTATGTGGTGGCTGGAGGAGTCGAGGAGACATCTGGAACAAAACCTGTGTTCTTCTTCTAACCTGCTCATAAAACATCAGCTACTTTTTTGAAAACAAGAAACTAGAAATACTTGTTACTGCATTTACATTTATTAGATACCCATGTTACATAGTGTTTGTAGACAAAAACTATTACTGCTGAGATAAATGACTTCAAACAATTTGCTTAGGTGCCTTAGACATTTGCACAGTACAGCATAGCCAATATACATGTTATATAGATTATGTATAACATTAACAATATATCCCTTATCACATTACATCCCTGTTTTCTATGCAATAATATGGATCTGAAATGTGATCAGTGACTACTGATTATTTATTAAGCAATGTGATTTTGAGAGCCTAGTGTCAGTCGGCTGGTGATTCTGAGGAGAGTCGTGTTGGGGTGTGTGTGTGTGTGTGTGTGTGTGTGTGTGTGTGTGTGTGTGTGTGTGTGTGGATTAGGTCTGAATGAGCTCTTTGAGTTGAAGCAGTTTCCTTCAGGTCAATCACATCTCCCTCAGCTGCTGCTGCCAACAGAAGAGTCAGCCAGGTTCAATGCCTGCTCATTATGCACATAAAACAAAGATAATGAAAAGGATCCGAGCTCACAGGTCATCAGCAATTTCCCTTCTTCATTAGCCACGGATCCAGCACACGCACACGGACACACAGACAGATATTAAAGGGGTCAAGCTTGAAGTAGAAGCTGAGGAAAGTGCTACTCAGTCTCAACAGTCTTTCTCTCTGTCTTTCTCTCCTTCCAGTCCACCTGTGAGTCTCTGTTTACCCCCGTCTCCCTGCAGCAGTCTGTATGATTCAGCTGTGCTGCAGTTGAAGGTGATGGAGGTGGCCGACTGAGCTGCGTCTCTGCAGCGTGCGGAGGCTGCATTAAGACTCCATCTTCTCAGTGAAATGTCAGGAATGAAGATGTGAGTTCAGTAAGTTGTGCAGTTCTTGCTGGCTCCCTGCCAGGCAGTCCTTCATGTGCGTGTAAGTGCGTGTTAGGACAGTACAGACAGCGTCACGACCCCTCGCTGCTTCTTCAGGATGGCCACGGCCTGTTCGTGTGTGGCTCCTTCCAGACTCTCTCCGTTCACAGACAGGATCTGATCCCCGCGCTTCAGACGCCCGTCCACCGCTGCTGCCCCCTACAGGCCAAACAAGGGAAAGAACATGAGGGGCAAGTTATATTATGTGTACAAATGATATTATAGTATTACATTATTATTATTACAATAATAATAATTATTATTAATAATATATGCATCATATTGTATCATATGTTTCAAACCAGCTATAAGGTACAAGCCTCAACAACTAAATATAATATCAATATTTTCAATATTCCCATCACCGCCACTACGAACAATTCTAAATTTGTCTAGAACTGAGCATTTTAAACCACTCTGAATGACTTTGTTTACATCTTATGAATGTAATTATGCGGACATTTTGAAAAACCTGTGGAACTCCCGTTTGACCTATTTGGGGGGCTGTCTGTGCAAAGGTTATGGCATATTTTGTATTTTACTTTCAAAGTCAATATTTGTGTTACTGCCAATATGTTAAACTCAGCAAATAAATAGAAATTGTGCACTAAGACTTGCCAAAAATGCCACATTTATGCATGTTCTCAACAAAACACGTAATTAGACCAGGAGTGTCCTAACTTTTGCATTCGACTGTACATGATCAAAATGTGCAGTGTGTGGGATCTCCAGGACTGGAACTGGGAACCCCTGCAAGAGCTGTTGATCAGCAGGGATGTGAGGACTCAGGACTGTCACGTGTGCGACCCCTGCTGGTGCCTGGCAGCCATTGCAGAACCAGGGCAACCAATTAAGGCAATTTTACATTCAGTTATACAATAGCCTTATAGAATTCACATAATCACATAATAAATTATAACATTATATGCACATACAAAGTACTGTTTATCTAGACAATAACTGTTTCTGTTTGTAAAACACACCACATAACATCAGAACAAGTACAAACAAACAATAATGCAATAAGAATTTACTTATTTTAAAAAGTAGTTGACAACTTTTGAGCTAGTTAGAAGATCTTGGAGGCCCTAGTCATCGTACGAATTTCTCTAATTTCATCACCAGCACACAATATAACTTAATGAAGCCCTCAAGCCAAACCATCATCATCATCATCATCGTTAACCGCTTAGTCCAGATAGGGTCGCGGTAGCAGTTGGGAGAGCAGAGAATCCCAGGTGACCCTGTCCCCCGCAACTTCCTCCAGCTCATTCCCGGGGACCCCAAGCCGCTCCCAGGCCAACTTGGAGATATAATCCCTCCAGCGGATCCTAGGACGACCCCGGGGTCTTATTCCGGTAGGCCGTGCCTGGTACACCCCCACCGGGAGGCGTCCAGGGGGCATCCGGATCAGATGCCCAAACCACCTCAGCTGGCTCCTCTCAATGCGGAGGAGTAGCGGCTCTACTCCGAGCTCCTCCCGGATGGCCGAGTTCCTCACCCTATCAAATAGAGTGTAGCCCGCCACCCTGTGAAGAAAGCTCATTTCCGCCGCTTGTATTCGCGATCTCATTCTTTCGGTCATTACCCACAGCTCATGACCATAGGTGAGGGTCGGGATGTAGACCGATCAGTAAACAGAAACCCTCTTCACCACTACAGTCCGGTACAGCGACCGCATTACTGCTGCCGCTTGTCCCAGCCTGCGGTCGATCTCACGATCCTTCTTCCCATCGCTCGTGAACAAGACAGTACATGGTTTGGCTTGAACAGGGTCTTGTTCAAGCCAAACCATGTACTGTTATTTGGGCTTCCTCAAGGACAGGTTTGGAAAGGGTTTAACACACTGGGATACAAAAAAAACACTACTTTTTTTGTTTTTCTGAGTGAAAAATAAATGGCTTTCTACATATAATTTTCTAAGGTGTCTAAGACGCGCACAGTACTATATACACACATGCACATTAAGTATATATGTGTGTACATGTGTTTGTGTACCTTGCTGAAGACTGTTTTGACGTAGATGGGAAGATCTCCATGTGGGCTCCCGAAGCCACCCACTATGCTGAAGCCCAGTCCTTCAGAGCCCTTCTCTAGAGTGATGCTCTTTGGCTTGGGAGTTCTGTAAGAGAAAACCATCACCCTCTTTAAATAATTAAATTATTTCTAAAATGATATTTTAGTATTTCAGTGTACACTGTGTAAGTTATTACTGAATGAGGTAATTAAGCAATAGAACACGAGAGGGAGTGTGTTATTACAAAATAACATCACGGCTGTGATTTGGTCGCAGTAGATCATTACAGCCGTGATGTTATTTGCGTTAACACACAACCTCGACTGTTCTATTGCTTTTATACAGCAGCTGTATAAAGTAATAAATTGATAAACTGGGCCGTGAACCTGGCATTTAATGTGTTTTAATGTTAGCAGTTACTTCCACCAAATTACAGTTCTTTAACAAACAGCTTGTTGCTACGTCAGAGTAACAAGCTCCACTCACTCGCTGCACAGCTGGCAGTTCGTTCTCCAACTCCTCACACTAAATTCCGAAATGGTCAATAGCACCGCGCGAGCTTTTCAGTCGGCAGCTGTGACAGAAGAACCCCTAATCTACCTGGAATTACCCAGAAACGAACCCAATACCATTCGCCAAATGTGTAGTCTCATCTTCAGAGTCTGACCAAATCGGACTGAGCCATAAAACTGCCGCAATAACAGGTTTAGCTCAGTTTTGTCAATTTTTGCCAGATCAGTATTAATGTTGTTTTGTTCCAGCCAGTCTGTAAAGCATCTTACAGCCCATTTAGTTCGGGGAATGGTATTCAGTTCATTTCTGGCTGATTCCAGGTTGTTTAGCTGTTCTTCTGTCACTGCTGCCGACTGAAAAGCTGCTCAGTGGTGATGACAGTTTGGGAATTTAGTGTGGTCTCATCTACAGAGTCTGACCAAATCGGCTGTTGGTCAAATGTGATCTCAAAAGTGTCCATTTTCTGTTTGTGGCAAAGTAAGAAGTAAAAATGTTCAAATGGCTTGAGCGTCTCCTACAGCTGTCAAAATCGTTGCTTAGCAACGGCGTCTCAGCGGAGTGATACAGTGTTTGTGAAAAAATGTGCTGTTATGGCGAAATAATCAACCAATCAGCTTGCGTGGCCGGGAACTAACTGTGGTATAACAGCAATTATTATTTATTAATATGACAAGTGATTCAGAACGTTTGAATGGTAGCTTGAACTGTATCATCACATCTTAAATCATTCTTCAAGTTTTAAAAAACAAACCTCTTTTGCTTTTCCAGAGGAGGAGTGAATACAGCAGAGTAATGGACAGAGATCCCGCTCATTTATTATTTGGTGTTATTATTTTCAAAAAGAATGTTATTATTAGAAAAAGAAATACTTTTCGCCCTCTATCTTGTGCATTTAAATGAGGTCACACTGAGAGAGTACATGCTGACCATATATATATATATGGTTAATATGGTTAGACTGATGGCGGAGTATGAGGGAGCCTCATGGGAGTTTTGCACGATGGATAGAAGAGCATGATTGGTGGAGAGTCCTGTCACTCACTCTGGTTCTGTAGGCTGGGTCTCTGGATTGGTGCTGAGGGCGGAGCTTGAGGACATGCTCTCCACCTGACTGGCTATGGCGCTGATGTTAGTGTCTGCAATCACCTGTCAATCAAACACACAGACAAAGAGCAGCATTAAACATTGAACTGTTCAGAGCTGTTTATCTGGCTGTAAGTGTATTTGTGATAGTAAAACACCACAAAACATTAGAATAAATGAAAATAAACATAAATACAGTAAAACATAAGAAATGATTATTTATTTTAAATGTAGACATGATGTGCTCTTGCAAAGCCAGGAAAAAACACTTTTGGTTCCCTAAAGAACTATGTTTAAAAACAGGTTTGTAAGTCTGAAGAATCTTTTAAAGGCTTAATGAACCACAAAATATAAAGGTTTCTGGCACCTTCATTTTTGAGAGGGTAGTTCTCTGATTTAACTTAATAAGGCACTGACTAAGCTAAAGCACATACTGGATGTTAACTACATATGATACTGGCTGGTATGAGGAGAGGTTTGGAAAGGGTTGAACAAACACATTGACAGAGATAAAATTACTACTTATCATAGTAATATTATTTGTATTTATTCTAATTTTAGTGTTTTTCTGAGCAAATAATTCGTATTTGCATCTGGATGCCCCTGGTCAAATGTCATGTTCTGTTGATCTTCTAGGTGAAAATAATTTAAGACTCTACAGAGAACTTAAATATGGCATGACTGCAAATTTTAGAGTACAATTTTTATTTATTTAGTGAGCGTAATATACTGGAAAAAAATAAATATAAAATGTGCCATAACTTTTGCACAGGCCACATTTGTGTTATTTTTTCAAATAAAATTCAGTAATTGTGCATTAAAATGTGCAGAAGTGTGTTCTCTGTAGAGGATGCACACAACTGTATGTATATATACACACAGTACTGTGCAAAGGTCCTGAGCACTTATTTAAAACCTTGTCAGTAAGTGTAAAAACATTATATCTCATTAGAATAAATGCATATATATTCAGTAAAAAGTAGTAAGTAGACAGATAGAATAAGTAGGTAGACAACAGAACAAGTTTGGTTCAAGATTTCTCTTCGAAGCCCCCAGCTGTCACATGGATTTGCTAAACTCCATCAGCAGCACACCTGATTTACCATAATGAAGTACTGATGAGCCAAACCAGGTACTGGACGAAAACAAATAATACTGGCCTTCCTCAAAGAGAGCTTAGGAACAAAAACACTGACAGACATGAAATCACTACTTATTGTATCAATGTTATCAGGATTTATTCTATGTATATATCGTCACTGTTGCTGTCATATCCCCTCATATCTCCGCAATGGTAGCTTTTAAGAAGGAGGAAAAAATCTTTAAATGGACATTAACAGAACTAATTTTGGTCCATTCATTATAAAATTACTACAAAATGTAAAGGGCAGCTGGCATTTTCACAGTATGTCAAAAAATTCAATACATATATTGGAATGGGCGATATGACAAAATTATTATATTACAACAAAGACATTTTTATGATACACAACATGTATCATGATGTATAGGTCTTCTGAGATTTAATAAGCTAGAACAGACAACATAGAACCTGTAGTGCCACATCTAAAAATAATAGTTACACCATAGTAATAATAAACCTACAACAATGATTTTTATTTAATGTTATAAAAACTACTCTGCACTAAATCCAATTAAACAGGCCTAATTATGCACACTTTGTAATGAAACATGTAGTTAGTGTTCCTTACAGAAAGGTGTATTGTGACAATGTATCACGATAATGGTGTATATATATATATCTGCTGTCTGAACAAAACCTTGTATCTTCATTTTTGTGGTTTTCTGTTTTTCACATAATTTGAGAAAAGCTGTTGCTCTTTACATTGTGTGTAGATTTCATCAAGAACCGACCGACACAAATGACCAAAATATACTTGGAGAAAAGTCTGGTTCCATTGACTTACATTAAAAGAAGTAAAGTATGTTTTTTCCCTCTCCTGTGAAGTTCTCATTTTGGAGATACAAGGTTTTGTTCCAACAGCAGCAATATATAGGAAAAAACACACTTTACTTTTAATGTAAGTCAATGGAACATAACTTTTTTCTAAGTAATTTTGTGCCGCTTCTTTTGATCCATTCATCGTGAAATTGACACACAATGTAAAGGCAAACAGGCATTTCCAAATTATGTTAAAAACTGAAAAACAACAAAAATGGAGATACAAGGTTTTGTTCCAACAGTAAGGATATATATACATACACACACACACATACACACACATATACACACACACACACACATACATATATACACACACACACACCCTATTACACAAACACATGCACTATGTGTCCTAATAAACTACCACGCTGAGGTTCTCCTGCATCAAACCTCAAATCAGCATGCGTGTCCCCAAGTGTGTGTGTGTCACAGATGACTGCCTGTCTGAGATAACGTTTATGTGCTCATGTGTGTGATGTGTGTGTTCAGCATTGAAATGCACCCCTCTAATCCTTTACCGTCCCGGGTGCCAGCATAGAGTCCTGCAGCCGATTGTTCTACAGACACACGCTGCTTCAAAGACATCGATCCTCCAACCGACACATCATTCTGCCATCATTCATCAGCCCTCTGCCTCCCCTTCTCCTGATCTAAATGCCTGCTTTTGTTTTTTCAGTTTATTTCTTTATTTTACTCCGCACATCAATTAAACGCCCTGCCTGCGAAAAGAGGCAGACGTGGCTCCGAATACCCTCATTTCCATATTTAATTAACAATGAGGCAATTAAAACTAAAATACACAACAACAACAAACAAAGGCTAATTAATGAATGACTCGGCCAGTTTGCGAGCAAAGCGGTGAAACATTCCCCTGCCATCACATTCAGTTATCTCCCTGATGCACCTTCAGAGAGAGAGAGAGAGAGAGAGAGAGAGAGAGAGAGAGAGAGAGAGAGAGAGAGAGAGAGAGAGAGAGAGAGAAACAGTAGTTATGGAAGCACCTTTGAATTGATTGCAACATACTGTACAATCCAGTTAAGACTGCAGTGCTAAAAGTGATATCTTTGCATCTATAATCAGAATATTAAAATTATTCAGCCTATTTCTAGATGTTTTAAGTCATTATTTTAAGTGATTTTATCCAGAGAAATTGTCTTACTGTACTGGCAGCTCATTTTGCTTGTTTTAAGAAATAATGTTGGAAAAAAACAAAAATATCTGCCCATAGAGTAAGACGGGATCCCTCGCTCAGCTGACTTAAAACAAGTCAAAAATGTCTAGAGACAAGGTTAAACAATCTTGAATGAGAAATGTCACATATATTGACTAGATTTAAAACGATTTCACTTCCAAATTACTTGGAAAAAAGTCTGGTTCCACTGACTTATATTAAAAGTAAAGTAGGTTTTTTCCTTCTACTGTAAAGTTACCATTTTGGAGATACGAGGTTTTGTTCCATCAACAGCGACATGCATACAACTGAATGTGTCCAGAGGCTGAAATGAAGCAAGAATAACCTAATAATCACAGTGAATAGAGAGTTACTATGTGACATCTGACAAGTGGGGTGATACAGAGGAACACGTTCAATTACACGTTTTCTGCTCATAGACAAAAACAGAGGAGAACACATGGTCATATATGAGCAGGAATGGAGAAGGTAAATGATAGGAGAGGGAGAATATGAATGAGAGAGAGAGAGAGAGTAAGAGAGAGAGAAAGAGAGAGAGAGAGAGAGAGACACAGAGAGAGAGAGTACAGAGGTAAAGAGAAAGGCTGCAGGACAGACAGCAAAATGCATGAGTGAAGAGAAAAAGAGAGATAGTTTGTAAGAAAGAGAGAGAGTTTGGAGGAAGAGAGGAGAAAAATATAATACTGAATATTCAGATGTACTACTTAATTTTTCATATTTACCATTATTACTAGAATTAGTATTATTATTTTTGTTGCATGTCCATATTCATTTTATGCTTACGTGTATTACAATATCTATACTTCAAACATTAAAGCTTTACCCTTATGAACTACTTTATTAATTTATATTTTAATGATAACTCAATTTAACATGTATTATACAGCTTTGGCAACACAGGCCTCATAACCTGCCACGCCAATAAAGCATATTTGATTTGATTTGATTGAGAGAAAGAAAGCAAAGGTAGAAGAAGGAGAGAGAGGGAGAGAGATTAGGTGAGAGAAAGCAAAGAGATAGTGTGAGAGAGAGAAGAGAGAAAGAGGGTGGGAGACAGTGTGAGAGGGAAAAGGAGAGGAGAGAAAGAGAGTAAAGAAGAACGGGAGAGAGAGAGAGAGAGGGGGAGAGAGAAAAGAGGGAGATGGAAACAGTGAAAAAAGAAACAGAGAAAGGACAGAGGGAGAGAGAGAGGAAAAGGACGGGGAGAAAGAGAGAGGGGGGTCGAGAGAGAGCAAAGATGGGGAGAGAGAGAGAGAGGGGAAAAAGGGGAAAAAGAGAGAAGGGGGTTGAGAGAGAGCAAAGGTAGAGAGAGAGAGAGAGAGAGAGAGAGAGGGAGGAAAAGGGGGGACGAGAAAGGGGGATCAAGAGAGAGAGCAAAGGTAAAGAGAGAGAGACAGAGAGAGAGAGAGAGAGAGAGAGAGAGAGAGAGAGAGAGAGAGAGAGAGAGAGAGAGAGAGAGAGTAAACAGTAATTGGTCTCCTAGCTGTTGTAATCATGGCTGTGCAGGCAGGGCTCCCCTGTTTGAAAGCCCACTGCATTCCTCCTGGAGCGCGGCAGATAACGCCACATTTGCATAAAGGCCCAGGATTATCTGGCAACCCGCGCTCAACTGGCGCACAGCTGCTGAGAGCTGATAACAGCGCAGTGACACAGCACCAACCACTCACACACAAGCAGACATACACACACACACACGCACACACACACACACGCACACACACACACACACATGCACACACACACACACACACACACACCACATACTGTATATGGTACACACACACACACACACACACACAGTAAACAAACACACAAAAACGCTGATCAGTTCTGCATACAAACAGCAGCACACGGCACACAGTTCTGTTCTATACATCACCACATTCACCTGAACACCAGCACACACAATATGAAATCTCAGAGCCTCTATAACACTGTCACATACACATTCACAATGTTTAATACAAGCACACATGAATAATCAATCCCAGCTCTGCTTCACACTCATACACACACACACACACACACACACACACACACACACACACAGGGCCTTCAGTATGTATGGGTGATAAAATGAATGCATCACTTTATATGGAACTGAAAAAGCCTCAGTAAAGAAAAAACTAGCCTTGAGTTAAATGCTAAATAGAATGGAAAAGCAACATTATGCATAAGCAATCAGGCTAAAGAATCCTTTCCATGCCAAGAGCATCTTCAAGGGAATTCAAAGATGGGGCTCAACCCACGCCAGTCTACAGTCATGCTGCAATACAAGTAGGGTACATTCTTGAACCGGTCCATCCTGAAATCCCATTAGCCTTTGTGATGATCCTGCCGTGTAGCTCGGCTAGAAAGCACTAGCTACCAAGCTTGGCTGTATCATAATGTAGCGGTGCTGCAAAGACTTGCAGGCTTTTTCGGAGTGGGTGAATTTTCATCCTGGTGGTCAAAAACTTCAGAAAATGAAACTCTAAAACTACTGTAAGCTAATGGGGGTAACACAGCTACAGCCTATGGCAACAGATCCCTACTGTCTAATCTGTGTATCTCCAAAATGGTAACTTTATAACGTAAAAATGGTCTTAACTTGTATTGCAAGTTAATGTTAGGATTTCATTCTAAGTAATTTTGGATCATTTCTATCAATCCATTCATCAAGAAATGTTCACACAATGAATATCACCTGCTATGCTGTAGAAATAGAACAGATAGATATGCATGGTTTTGATATGACAACAACAAAATGTCACTTTTCATCAAATGTTCCACTCAAGCTGAGGCAGTACCACAGGTGTTTCAGCTACCTAGTTACATTTTTAAGCCAACGGTATTCAAATAAACAGGAAAATCTGTCAATTAAATCAAATGAATCAAATGAATCACATGATGTTCCAGTGACTAAGCTTTGATGCTCCATTAATGTATATACCAACCCTGGGCAACAACTAAAAAAATTAGCATAACATATGGATTTTCGGATTAATAAAAAGAGATTATTGATCATATATAAACAATTTCACTTTTCCTTTTGAAAGTTGTGACTGCAAACAAGTGCATTTGTAAGCTCCCACTAGTGTGGGTTCAAGTCTGTTTGTTCCCATTACATCAGGGGTTCTTAGCCTTTTTTTACAGCGCGGCCCTTCCTCAAGGTGAAAAATATTTCACACAATGTCCTCATTGACAACCCACACTCCCCTCTGCAGCCCCACCTACGCACACACTCCAGTATATACATTAAAAAAGTGCTTACTCACTTTCTGGGCCTGCATTCCTTAGCTAGCACAAACCAAAAATCTTCAGCCTGGTGCTGAAAAAATGCTTCATGTTCAGCAGCAAATCAAGACGCTCCCTCAGTAATGAATTCACCCAATAGAAATTCATAATTGATGTTAGCCTGAGCTGAGTTTGTATGCAAAATTAGTGTCAAAATTACTCTTTCTATATTTGATAAGGTTTATGTCTTGTAGCATCACTCTAACAACCCCCCTGAAACCACATAGCAACCCCCAGGTTAAGATCCCTGTTTTAAAGGATGCATATAAAAGAGAACTGCATGCTAATACTTTAAATTGCTTATTTAAAAGAATACTTAAAATTGCTAAAAGTGCATGAGTGAGTGAATTTCAAAGCCACGTCCAAGTGCTTTACATATTTAAAAACAACTCTGGCATTGTTACTGTGGACATATTCAAGAAATCAGCTATTCCCTGTGGGGAAAGTTTTTTTTCACATGTTCACAAGTCATTTAAACCATCGGGTGGTACAGAAAGCTGTAGAGAAAATGCCTTTCCTCAGTTGGTATGCTTCACTCTGGGAAACCTGCAGCAGAGACAGTGGGGAATTTGCTCTACCTTAGCCTAAAGATTTATTAATGCCTGGTAATAATACATTACTTTAACAGTAAGAGGAATAAAACATTACATATTATTTAACATTATTGTCTACAACTGTTTAAAATGAACTTAGCCCACTCTAGTTTCACAAAATCCCAGATTTACTTCTCAATCACTGCCAACATCTGATGCTTTACCTTGTTGTCCAGGCCTAGTATTCACTAACCCCATCACAAATTCCTGGTACGATAAAGAGATTTGGATCTCTGATGGTTCTTTAAGAGATCTCATAAAGCAAGAGCATACAAGATCAACTGGGTACCTGTAAAACAATGCTGCCAAAGGCGTTCTTTAGCATGTTGACTACTTCGCCATGGCTCAGACCCTCCAGAGACTGGGAGTTGATACTCACAATACGGTCCCCCACCTACAGAGAGAGTCAGAGGGAAAAAAACAACAAAAACACAATTAAGGTTCACACAAAACCACACATTCAATTAATTGATTTCAGTCCAACGCCATTCACAGCAGCAGCCTTCGCACTAACCGCTATAGAACGCTAAATCAATAATACTCTTCCTGCTTCAGTACACAGGCTGGAAGGACTGAAAGAGTGGAGGTTAAGGGGACGGGGACAAACAGCATAGAAAGAGGTGCTGTGTAACCTTGAGGCGGTGGGTCCTGGCAGCCACTCCATTAGCCTGGATCATGGCAATGAAAATTGGGATGTCCCCCAGGGGACTGCCTTTTCCCCCCGCTATACTGATACCCAACGCATCAGTGGGGCCCTGGAGGAGAAACATTAATGGAGAAATTAATGCAGCCTCACACGCAGGAAGAGTTTTATTACTGCTTGTGTGTAAGTACTGATTGGACTCTTACTCGGGTGATCTCCACTGTGCGGAGGCCTGTTTCAGATCCTGTAAGCACACACACATTCAGACACACGTTACCTTCAGAATACAAGACTGAAGAACATATTTTGGATTGTTTTGAATCGTTTTATGCTGCTTCATTCTTTTGTTTCACAGCAGCACTTACTGTGAGTCTAGGTTGCATCAAGACAACAAAGAAAATTCAATGTGCTCCCAAAATCCTCTGATAGTCTGGCACTGCCTACAGAGAGCAGCCTAATTGGTTAAATCAGTGAAGAATTTAAGGGATAACTCACTGCTGATCAGATTAGAATCCAAATATTTAGGCTCTCTGATACAAAATCATGCAAAAATAAGAAATTCACACTTTTATTCCTAGAGAGGACTCTAAAGCTTTACCCAAGAGGACTAATGTTACCTCAGTTAACGTTACTAGTCTAGTCACATCCAAACTTATTTCAACTCATCTTTTAACTCTAAAAAAAAAGTAAAGTAATTAAGAGCTAAGTTCATTAAGTAATGCTGAAAGTTTTATTTCATTAAATCTATGCAAGTGTAAAATGAACTTGATGTATCTTGATATTTATCCATGCTTTCTGTGATATTCTTGACTCATCTCTAATGATCAAGTCAGGCCAAATATACATGGACCCTTTTATTAATGGATACTTTGGGTCCAACTGAGCAATAGCAAGCTAGATAACTTTCACCTAAACCCCCATTTCACGTCAAAACAAATGTTGGGACGCCAATCCAAATGCATGCTCAAACGAATTGAGAAAAATATTTAATTGCGATTTTTCTGATCAATGTTGCAAATCTAGGCCTGTTATTTTGGACAAGAAGACCAGAGCATCCACTTTTTCTAGCTTGAGACTTTAACACTGAACATGCCAGACTGCCACTTAGTCATGGTTGTGATGTCACAGCATTCAGTTGTTAGGGTTCTTTCTGATTGGTCTTACTCATCTGCAGGCAGTTTACAAGCTCTGATATTAGGTTAATGTTCCCCAATTAAGACAACATTGTTAATAAAAATAGCTATAATTAAAATTGCAGCACTTGCGATCTGAAAATTGCACTCTTTTAAATTGCGACTAATCTTTCAGTCCTATAGTGTGGTAGTTCTGAGGAACCAAGCCATCACGGAACTGTTAATGCATGTGGACACGGTCTGATCTGTTGCATCCAGAAAGAAGGGAAGAAGTCCCATCTCATGACTCCAATGTCAGCTGATTTACTGTAATTATTTGAACTGCTAGAAGAAAATGGATGTAACAAACTTTTCCCTCACTTTCCCTTACTATTCACACAGCTGTATGAAAATGGAAGCTAGTGTTAGTGCCACTGACTGTCTGTAGTTGAGAAAGGTTACCGGAGCTTTTGTTGTTGGGTTCGTGTGCAGTTCTCCTGGTGGTGCTGGGGGGCTGGCTGGGTGGGCTGATGGTGGTGTGGGCCGCAGGGGCAGCAGCGTTGCTATTGGTTGTGTTACTCGCATGGCTCATCTGGGAATGGAAGGAATACAGAAAATCAGAGGTAAATGAGGTAAAATGAGGTAAAACACAAACATTTTCATGAGTCAGCGTATACAGTTTTCCATGCAAGTGAGTGGTCCAGAATGGTTAACTATCCATACACCTGAATGCACTACTCAGTATCTACTCAGACAGATGAGCATGCATGTATGCACTGACACACTAAAAGATGCACACAAACACACATCCCAGAGAGTTTCACATAGTATTGGAGAACAATGTGCAACTGTGCATGACCTAAGGTTTACATGCAAGTGAAGTGTGTAGAGTGGTTAACTAATCTTACTAGAGATGGCAACGAACTGACACCTAATACCCTTATTGGGCTGATATAAGCAGGAAACGCTGGATATCAAAGGAAAAAAGCAAAAGAGAAAAACCCCAAATAAATCTGATCTGATTCAGCACCAAATCTAACCTGAAATATCAGAGTTTCACTAGATAAAAAAGCAGTTTTTCCTATGTAAGGTTTTACATAAGCAATGTTGTAAAACAGTGCACAGGCACTAATGGACTCTACACAGAATAAACTACTCACAGAAATAATTGTAAGACGTGTCTATTGTGCTGATTGTACTGAAAGATCAATTTTAATTATTAATCAAACCAAGAATCTGCTCCCTCCCGAGCCTGGATCAGAGATTTGTCTTCAGTTTTTAAAGAAAAGAATATTGGTCTCAGCTATTACTCGAGGATTCAGTATCATTATTGAGAAAAAAAAAGTGGTGTTGTGCCATCTCTAACACTGTTTACTCACACATACGAGCATGCAGGAACACACACACACAAACACACACACATCCCACAGGTTTTCAGGTAACTGGGGTGAGTGGTGTTCATCTGTACACAGTCGATCATGCAGTGTTTTATGCAGATGTCCAGGAGTGGTCAGTGCAGATGCCTGGCTGGTGTTATGGGTTAGAGTTTGGAGAGCGTGGAGCTGGAGGCATGCAGAGCTTCAGGGCAGAGGAAGAGCAGGGAAAGCCCAGCAAGGAGCCCCCTTACACACCTGGCTTCCCTGTGAGGTGCGTCTGGAGGAGATCCAGGAGGCAGCCTTCAGCCGGCCCAGCTCCAGCTGCACCATCCCCCTGGCACACTGCAGCAGGGCACAGCGCACGGGGTGTGACTGACGCACTTACACATTCACACACACACACATATGTATATACACACACATACACTTACAGATAGGGATGCAGAATGAAACCGGAATCATATCGGTATCGGCAGATATTTGCATAACAAATTATGGTTATTGGACAGATGTTCAGATTTGACTGACATTTCAAACCAATATTTGATTTATTATACTCCTAAAAACACAGGATGTTTGGGTGATGCTGGTAATAGTAATGCTAATCTGTGTGGATTTAGTCTCAATTTCTATATTTTGTTAATGTTTATGTACCAACATCAGTAGATATTTACGTGAATATTGTGTTAACAGCCAGCTAAGTAAAATAAATAAAGTAAAATGGCAGTTTGCCCATTCAAGAGCAAATAAGGCTATTTATGTTTCAACTTTGATAAAAAAATACTAGAAATGTGCTAATGTGTTTCATGTGTTCATGTAGTCTACAAAGGTGTGAGCTTTCCAGTGTAAAGCCAATAAAAGTCGATAAAAAGTTTGCAGAAAGTGGTTATGAACCACTTTGAGAGCTAAACCTGGTCCTCAGCAGTACTGATAAAATTCAGTATCACATTGAATATTTTCCAAAAATGTCACAGTATCACAGCATTTGATGATATTTAAGTTTGCATTTAAAAGTTGAAAAACCCATATTTTAAGAGTACTGCATTAAAAAAAGCCTGAAACCTGACAGTTTGTTCTGACTGGCCGGTTTATTCTCCACTTCAAATTACACCAAAGAGATTTACTAACATTGACTGATAAGAAACTACATTTCCAGAAGGGAAACTTACTATTTATTTACATTTTTTGTATTTTTGAAACACTCAGCATATGATGTACAGTACTGGGCAAAACTGAGAGACCACCTTTCATTTATTTAATTACCAGTAAAAACTACTATAAATTTTTTAGAAGATATTTCTGAGGAGATTAGATACATGATAATTGCAGAAGGAAGATGAAAGGAAAAGAAAAACAAGTGAAAAAACAGGAGTTTCCAAAAATGGAATAAAAAAAAAAGAGAGAGAAAATGGGACCCCACACAAAGAAGCTGCGGGACAAAAAACAGCAGATTGACCACCCCAGAGTCCAGGCCTTAATAAAAGTACTTGTGAGAAGCAGAAAGTGCAATCAACTTCTAAGACTGAACTTTGGAGGTGTGGAAAAAATTAAGTAATTACAGATTTTTATATTATATTTAGTTGTTGAGGCTTTTATGCAATTTCCAGTAAAATATGTGTTTTAAGCTTTTTTCATAACACTTAAAATGGTCGTTTTGACTAGAAATTCAATAAATGAAGGAGGATCTTTGACACTTGCACAATGATGTACAATGCAGTTAACGGTCAGATCGTTATTACTATGCATAAAGTGCACAAAATAGAATCAATTTAAAAACTAAAAACAAACTGTGGGATAACAGGGATGCCCAGCACTAGATGAACCCCTGAACTTCTCACCCCAAGCCTGCAGGTCCTCAGCATTTTATAGTTTAGTGTTGCTTATTCATACCTGATCAGAAATGACATCATCATGAAATTACCCAGTCTGTATTCCACTCTCTTTCTCTTATACACAAAGCCCACACATCTCTCACACCCTCTACCACACACTCAGCTCCATCCTGAATGCTGTATCGCCTGCACATTCACAAACAGTGCAAGGCTGCAGTGTGAGACTCAGCCAAGAGTATTCACTTGAGCTGTGTTCCACTGCAGAGACAGTCAGATGACTCAACACAAACAAAGCAGCTGAATCCAGAGCTAAACAACACACAACTATTTCACCAAGCACAAGAACAACTAAGTCTCTCCTCCCATCAGAACAGCAAAACAGTAAAAAAATAAAGAAATAAAAAAAATAATTATAATTATATTACGATTATATAAAAATGATATACAATTATATAAAAAAGATATTAATCTTTTTTTTAATTGTTACATTAATAAAGCATGTAACACACAATTCTGTTCATTAAATAAATTCAGTAGTTCAGTCTCTAAATGCCACATGGGGTTATGCAGGAATGCAAAAGCCCTTAATAAACACATCAATGGGGACACTTAGTGGCTGCTTTGTGCAACTGCAGCTTTGACTAAATCTCCTGTAATCCTGTTTGGGCCGTACTGTGTCATTGTTGTTGTTGTCGTCGTCGTTGTAAGTAGGGTTTAAGGTTTTAGGCTGAGCTTACCTTGAGGACGGCAGCGACGGTCTCCTGAGAGGCCTGTCTCATGTCCTCTCTGTCCACTGAGAGGATCTGGTCTCCTTGCATGAGTCTCCCGTCCACATCAGCTGCTCCACCCTTAACTACATCTGAGATAAAGACACCTGTGCCATTTCTGGAGGGGAGCAGGAGAAAGAGAGAGATCAGTAAAATGAATAGTACTTAATTACTTCATCCAGTGGTTCTCAATTCAACCCAAGTCCATGCAAATCAGAATTTTGTGTTTACCCCATTTTAACACAGCCAATAAAGCAAAGTAACACCACAGTGCTTATTTTTCTTTTTTCTTTTTTTTCTTTCAACAGCCTTTTCAGCTTCTGATGTAAGACACAATGATAAAATGACCTCCTATAGGCTTCCACGGGGCAGCAAAGTTTCACTTAGAAACAGTAATATACTAGTAATGCTGCAAAACAATGTTTTCGCTGTAGTTATTTTTACGCAATTTATGGCACAACCTGATAAATAACTGAACCTGTGTAACCTTTTAACTCCCTGGGACTATACTGCTGCTGTATACTGGACTGAATATTCTGGTGATATGTTTCAACTATGCCTGTTACATGATTAAAGATATTAATCATGATTAATTGCCTTAGTTTGTGTACTTAATTGTGATTAATTGTATTTGTCTTATATGACCATAAATACAGATTTTTTCCATTTTAAAAGTAGTGCACTTTCTTATAGCAATATAAGCAGATTCATCAGAATGTATTTATCACCTTCAGTAATTAAACTTAAACTCGAATGTAAAATCATGTGAATGCAGGGAGAATACGAAATAGGCTGAAGTTAGCTTCCGATTTCCATGTCTGACGTGCAGTGAGATCAACACTGGCTGCATGTTCCAGCTCCTCTGTGACTGTAACCTCTCACTCTCATATCGCTACGGTACATCTCGTTTTAAGGGGGAATGGAGCCTTTTCCACTTTGCTGTTGCTCTTATTGGTTTGCTGCTCATTGATTTATCCATCACCACCAAAGTCGCCCTCCAGTGCTAACAGATATTACTGATTGATACTGGCAGCATCAGAGCTGTGTTTTGCTAATAAATGACACTTCAGACTCAGTGTTCTTTGGTGATAAACAAATTCACCACTGCAGTAACTTGAATTAGCTTTAGTTTTATCAAGAGAGCCATCAAAGGTGTTTGTCATTTAAAAGCTGTATTTGAAGGAGAGAGCTTCAATCGTGGAGTCTTAGCAAGAGCACATGAGCATCTGGGCTTCAGGCTGGAGCTATGGATTGTTCCAAGGGTCAAACTAGGAAAATGCATTAACAGCGTTAAAAATTTATTTCATGGTATTAACGTGCTAACTTTGGCACCACTATTTCCAACCTGCTATTTGAGTGATGAGAGCCAGTGGAATTTAACTACTACAAATAATTATGTTTTGTTCTGGCATTGTTGGTCTGGGTGTGTCCTACGTTTGCTTAATTAGCGCAATGTAAATAACAATTTCACGCTAAACATGAACATGCTAGTGAACATCAGAAACTCTCACTCATCATGCATACATTAACCTGAGGATGAACTGTTTTTGTTCTCATGGTTGTGCAAAACCAGTTTGGATGTGGTATATCAGTTCATCCAGTTACTCAGGTATGAGTTTTGTCATAATCGTTATATTGGTATGTGCAGATAATGCAACATACAAACCATGCAAACAACACTAATGCTATCCCCTTTAGCTGAGTGGCTGAATCAGGGATGTTTCAGTCATGTTTTAAACGAAAATAAAAAACACAGCAGAACCTCGATCACCTCCTGCTGTCTAGTCTGTTACCTCTGAACTACTCCACTTTGTTTTCAAAGCAGTGGACATAAAGGAACAGCCAGTCTTTTGGAGTTAGACTTTTAGTGTTAGGACACCAGAGCAACTGCCTTGCTTCTGTTTCCTCTTGTACACTCTTAAAAATTACGGTTTTTAAAGGGTTCTTTAGTAAAGAAAATGGTTCTATATAGAACCATGAACACTCAAAGAACACTTCACATTATTAAAGTGTTTTTTCAACTGATGAAGAATGTGTTTCATCTATATAGCGCCAAAAAGGGTTCTTCTATTATTACGATGGCAAGCCTGTAACAACAGTAGAACCATATAAAACACGTTCTCCATCAATCTGAAGAACCCTTTAATCATGCAAAGGGTTCTGTGAGTGTTCAGGGCTCCATTTGGAACCATTTTCTTTACTTAAGAACCCTTGAAGAACCATTTTTTTTTACACGTATACCACCTGAAAAGTTAGCAAACTCAGTCAGCTGCATCAGATGATGCCATAGTTAGGGCCTTTTGTATAAAACAAGCCACAGACACTAGATAAATGACTTGAGTTGAAGTTGGCTTCTTATTCTAACGCTTTGTTCTGCCTTAAATGGGCCAGAAATTATATTTAGGGCTTATACAGGTGCTAGAATGAAACTGCTGCTGCATTTAAGGTGGAACAGAAAAATTTTAACAAAAGGCTCCTGAATAATAAGTTCTCTTCAGCCACGTAAAAATAAAGACGTCAAACAACATTTAGGACCGTTGTTGCCCGGCCTGGAGGGCTAGTGTAATAGTGGACAGCAATACTGACATAGGTTCATCTTTATATTGTTCAGTTTTGCTTTTACTATTTTGCGCAATAAAAAATTCCGATTTACTTATTTATTAAAAACATTTCTTAATAAAAAGTGAAGGGATAAAATAATATGCCATTGTTAACCTACAAAAATAGTTTTACTTTATCATCCAAAATGGTTTAATTTGAAAATATATAAATACAAAACCAATGGATGCAGTTCTATAGCCCTGTTAAGCCCTTGGGAGATGACTTTACTTTGTTAGAAGCATGCATAAAAAACACACCAAATTATGACAAGACTTGCAGAGATTGAGTAGCAGCAGTAATGAACATGCATGCCCTGCACCAGGAGATGTACCTCCATGCGGAGTTTGGCACTAAAATTAGATTTGCAGGATGTGGGCACTCACCTCTTGCCTACAATGCTGAGGCCCAGGCCACGGCCGCTCTTCTTCTGGAGGTCCACAGTGAACACATCTAGGTTTTCCTCGTCACGGTACTGCGCCTCGTCCCGCAGAACTGTCAGACGCACTTTAGCTGGAGTCTGCCTCAGAGCCGCGATGGCATCTTCATGGGCTACGCTGCGCAGGTCCACGCCATTCACCTGCAGGGGGCAACAGAGGGATGTAACTACACTCTCAGAAATAGGTTCTAAACTGTCACTGGGGCAGTGCCCCTCTTGTCACTGGCATGGAACCCTCAAGGGTACATCTCAGTACCTTTAGTCAGGGAACATAATTGTACCAAAATCCATTGAAATGATATTTTCTAAGTTGTACTGACTCCACACACCCCGTCTCGTCTACAGGCTTTTATTTTATTGTTCCGTTTTAAAACATTCGGTTATGAAAAAATACAAATATGTAACTTATTTAAGGTTCACAATCAGACCTTAAAACCACTGTTGTACTTTTGAGGGAACATTTACATTGTTTATACCTTGACAAATGAAAAATGTCCCTGCACAGAACCTGTATTTCTAAAAGTGTATAAATAAAGGCTGATTCACAGAGAGGCACAAACAAAATATCCTACTGTTGCTGCTGCCTCCGGATGAATGTCGTAACAAGTGTTGCTAGAAGTATAAAATGAATGTTACTATTATAATAATAGAAAAATATGAGGTTGTAGCCACTGAGAGTTCTGACAGTGAACTTTACATAACAATTAGCTCTGACCACACAGTCTGATTAGTTGAAATATGCTCCACCCATACTGCTATATCTGATATCATGTTTTTGGTCAACTATACCTGCTATACAAAAACAATACAACACTCGAGATTGTGTGATAACATTACCGCTGTGATGATCTACAGATGTGATGTTATTCACAGCAACATAATCCCCTTTGTTCTCTATTGCTCAAAGTCAATGTGAATCTGAAATCTTGATGTATGTTTTATTTGTACCGTGATTATTTCTGAGCGAAAGACAGTGTCAGAGAGGGTCTCTGGCATAGCTGAGCGCTGTCTCTCGATGGTAGGTGGGAGCTGGTGAGTGGGGGAGGTGAACCATGACATTATTGGTTAACATTATTTTTCCCCCCAAAATTGATAAATTGATAAATAAATGTCATTCAGAGTGGTCTGATGTGAATGCACCGTTCCAGAGAAACTTACGAAGCCAGAGCTGTTCACAATGGTTGTGATAGGAACCAGATGTTTGAAGATTCCTACAAAGGGTTATTAAATAAAATGGTTATCTGACTTCTGAGACATTATTTTATGATCATTTTGAGAGAAGGTTCTGGCCTAAAACAACACATAAAAACTCCAAGGACACATGTAGGTTCACTGATTGTTTTGGATAGTAAAAGTATACTAGTTCCTATCGCCAGCACTGTAAATGAGAGAGCGTGTTTACATGCACTCAATAATCTGATCATTCAAATGGTCATGTAAACACCACACTCTGATCTAGAAATATGATTAAGAAATTCGATTTCGACTGAACTGGATTTTAGCTCAGTAATCAGATTTCTCAGTGCATATGTTCATATGTTCAGTTCATATGTTCAGGTAAAGTGGCACAATGTTGAGCTGCGGCATGAAGTTCGAGTTTTACATTACATTTACGTTGCGTCTTCTTCTGTGAGTTCATTGGCTGGTTGCAAAGCAGAAATCTGATTACTGCCTGACTCATGCAGACTTGGAGTTTAACATTATCTGATTACTCAAGTGCATGTAAATGTGTTGATCAGATTACTGACAAAATCTGATTTTCTGCAGTTATCAGATTATTAAGTGGATGTAAACACACTCATTGACCTGGCAAGTTTCTCTAATATTAATCTCATCGAACCACTTTGAAGAACTCAAGAAGTCAAGCATTTTCTTTTAATTGCTGAAACTCTTCTTTAAATCCCCCTGTTTAACTGCGTTTTGATAAGCAGTTAAATAGCACATTTGAAAAGAATAACCAGACCAATTTTTTTCCTGAATTTCGCTTTGTAGGCCAGATGCATCCAACTTGCTGGCCACACTGAAGCTTGCAGTATTACTTTTGTCCAGCAGATGGAGATACTGGCTCAGCTTGGTCCATTGAGATAATGGCTTTTAAACGAGGAGCAATAGGGCATACATTACTGTTCTCTCCTTAGGGGAGGTAGGAAGCACAGCTGTTAGAGAGAGATGTTGAGTCACTGCTTGTGATCTCTGTCTCTCTGCCTCCTTTTCTGTCTCGCTCACCTCAAGGATCTGATCCCCTGCCCACAGTCGTCCGTCCCGTGCTGCAGCTCCCTCCTCATACACCTCATGGATCACTATGGCATCCTACATAAAGAGAGAGAGAGAGAGAGAGAGAGAGAGAGAGAGAGAGTGAGAGAGAGAGAATATGACCGAAATGATGTATTAAGATACTGCCAATGTCAAAGTCAATATGAAATAGAAAGACAAACTGAGATAAAGCCACAAAGACATTGACAGAAATCTTGAAATTGCCTTTCGGCAAAAGCAAAAGGTCTTGTAATGAAACAGATACACAGTTATCTTTCCCAGATGAAATACCCTGTATGCCCGAGGGCTTTTTTCTGTCAGATCAGAGTTGGCCCTCTGAGAGCACAGCTGGCCCACTGAGCTGGAATGAGGTGAATACTGATTGCTAAGTGACTGTGAGCAGGGTGAGGCTGGAGACAGACTCTGTTAGATGGCCTTAGAGAGAAAGGTCCAGTGGGATGACTCTGAAGAGAGGCAGGCTCCATGGGGGGGCTGCAGGGAGACAATCCTCACATGCGCTCCAGCCTCTGTGTGAAAGCTATACAGAAATTAACCCCTTAAACCCTTAATGTGGAGGGAAAATGGTTCATTCTACCTTTTAATTTATTCTTCTCTTTAATCAACATGTACCACTTTACAATAAGACTACCCTTATAAAAGCTTTATGAATGGTTTACAATTAGTTTATTAATGGTAAAAATCATTCTGTTAATTAAAATCATTAATATGCAGATGTAGCACATAAACAAAAAGGGCAACGGTGACTTGTTGCTTGCCAAAATGTGAGCTCCTATTCATCATACAGCTCAGATTTAACTGGTTACTTATCTTACTTTGTCTGCTACATCCGTCAGTTTTAAACCAGTCAGTTCCATCACATATTCATAATCATCAGATATAACAGCTATACCTGCTTATTAATGATGTTAATGTGTTTGAACTAATTCATAACCACTAATAAACTCATTTTAAACTATTCATCAAACTTTTATAAAGGTAGTCTTATTGTAAAGTGGTACCAAGAAGCATGATCTCCTGGAACGCAGAATACTTCAGACTTCAGTCACCTTCTACTGTTAGCACTTTTTCTTAAAGTGCAGAATCTGGTATTTACACCACTAGAGGGCCTGTGTGAAAGAGTTTAACATTAAAGGGGAATTCCACCAATCTTTCTAAATTTCTGCACTTTGATAGCCATTCAGAGTGGATTGATGTGGCTTGATTGATGCTCCATTCTAAAGAAACTTGCAGAGACAGAGTTGTTTTCAGGGGGTAGTGATGGGAACCAGACATGTGAAGAGTTTAATGCCTCTGAAAGCTATGGTGGTTATGAATACCTTGTCTGATGCCTGAGACACTGTTTTTTCATAGTTTTCTGATCAGGTTTTGGCCTAAAACATACTTTTTAAAATCCAGTTATGGTGGAGAGGTACAGCCATATGCAAAAGTTTGAATAACCTTGGTCAAATGACATGCTTTGTTGATTTGTGAAAATGTAAATATGCCATTTTCTGCACAACTTATATCTATTAATTTAACATATTGGAAAAAATAACATAAAATATGTCCTATTTAATTTTTTTCCAATATGGTCAACAAATAAACAGTAACCGTGCATTAGAATGTACAGAATTGTGTTCTATGTATAGTGTTAACTCTTTAACTTAGAAAACCAACAAAACATAATCTGACAACCCAAACCTTATATGCAGGGCACAGAAGGGCAAAATAGTGTCTGAAAAAATAATATATATTTTTTTTTAAAGATTTTCCACTATTTCACCATAATCAGCATTACATATAAAAACTCAGAAGACACATGTAGGTTAAAAGCTCCGGGGTAGGCAGCTGTGTTCAGTACCAGCTGAGTGTCTTTGCCTCCGACTATACTGAGGCCCAGTCCGGAGCGGCCCTTCGAGATCTCGATGACCGTCTCCTGCCCTGGAACTATGGGACATGTCGCAGGGTCTGCAAAAGAAAGACACAAAGAAAAGTAGAGTTACAAAAAGATGAAAAAGAAAGCAAGAAAAAAAAGAAGTGGGACAGATAGAAATTACAAAAGATGAACCAACTCTTTCATATATTGGAATATTTTGTCTTTTTCTGAGTGGCGTAGCTGCCCCTGTTTAAAAGGTTTCAGAAATCAATAGGACCTAAGTGCAAATGGTGCACTTCTCCATTTAGGAGAATGGAGAATTTATACACTGCATAAAGTTGCAATGTAAACATCAAAAATAACAACACTGGATTCAAAGATCAATATGTAACACTGCACAACAGAAGAGCCAAACAAGAGAGACAAAAATAACAAAGACTACAAGCGAGGTGTGCTTTACGCATTAGCGCCAGGAATAGACAGACATACAGCACCAGTTGCTCAAAAACATTGAATAAACAATTAAAATTCTCTGTAGAGAACAATTTGGACAGTCTCTCAGTCCAACCCAAAAACTGTTACTAGCCTTTACAAGGCTGATACTTTTTCTTTAAGGTAGTTATTTGGGAAGCATGTCAACAAAGCAGGGCTTAAAAAGAACAGATCTACAGTAGAAACTGATAAACACATAAGCAATGCTGTCAAATTTCATTGTTTAACGCCATTAACACATCTTCCTAGTTTGACCATTCAAACCATCTGTAGTAGCGCAGGCTGAAGCGCAGCTGCAGTTGCAATGACAGAATCTGCGATAGAAGCCAAGATGCAAAATAAAAGGGTCCTGGGGGGTCCAGGACCAGCTAATTAATTAATTGGACCTCCTGAGCGTCTCAAAACCAGAATTCTGGGGGGTCCCTGAAAATAAACTTATCACGTTATGCTGTCCATTAGGGAAAAATGACACTCAAATACAAATTCATGGAAAGTTCATTGTTTAGCTGCTTCAACCACAAATGGGAAACTCTAACATTAAACTCTGTTTAATATTCTTAACTAACTAAAGATGCAGCACTAACCTGCCTCAGTTAGGGCTGTAGCATTTGCATAGGCCTCAGTTGGTCCTTCATTGCCTAGTGAGTATGTTCGCGATATCTCTGAAAAACTTCACATTATGCCGCAGCACACGTGTAGATCTGAAAATCTGCCCAATTTCCCAAGAGTTTGGTGGAAAGAGTGAATTGTTGGTCATTCAAATGGAAGAAGGAAGAGGAGATTTACAAGATCCTAATTTATGTGAGGAAGAGCACAATACCAAACTAGAAAAGAGCATTTCCAAAAGAAGAATCGTTGAACCAAACATTTTGTTGCCATTAAACCTAGTGTCAGTGCTGCTTTGGTGAGTGAGGTAGCATTTAGCCAATGCTGGAGTAGTGAGCCATCATGAGACCCCCCCAAATACCAGGGGGTATTTCGCACACTGATTGTAGCCCTCTCATTCAAATACAACTTGAAAAGAGCTATGGAGAGGCGACCTATGGATAAATCAATGAGCAGCAAACCAACAAAACAAACAGCGAAGTGGAAAGCTCCAGAGCTCCAGAGAGGTTTGACCCACTGACCGTATATATGATAGATTTAATATATACACTCATTGGTTGGAATATGCAGCCACTGCTGCTCTCACTGGACGTCAGTAATAAAAACTAGTAACTGTGTTCACTTTGTGAAAAGCACAGGGTTTTCATGTTCCAGTTCATGTGAACCTTGCAATCACACATCGAAAACAATGTCATTATTAGAATATTACTGAATTATTGAAAGTAATAAATTCATTCTGATGATGGTTATTTTGCCCACTTATATACAAGTATGCAAAATTCAGAGACAACTCAATGCTATGGCTCTGAAAGGATGTGTTGCCCTTATTGAGAAAAAACAGACAAAAAAAGAGGAACATTTGTAAACCAAACCAAGAGTCCAGACCTCAACATCACTGTGTTTGAAATTACTTGGATCGTGAGAAGGAGAAAATGCAACCAACTTCTGAGACTGAACTTTGGAGGTGTGGAAAAATATCTCCACAGATTTCTTTGAAGAACTAAAAGCAAGTCTCTTGAAAAGAATGGAAGCTGTAATGAAGGTGAAGAGTGGACACATAAGTACTGAAAAAAGATCATATATTTAGTAGTTAAGGCTCCTGTGTATTTACTTTTAAGTATATTATCTTATTTTCCATGCTGATGTTGAAAAATGAATAGCTTGTACTTACTGGTCATTTTGACTGTAAATTAAATAAATAAAGGGTGGTCTCTAAAATTTACACAGTACTGTAGCTTAAACAAAATGCACTGCTTTTTAAGCGAAAAAAAAATATTTATTCGAGGTCAAATCTGAGCAAATAAGACAAATGCAAATAATCCCTTACCAAGCTATGGACCCGCCGACAGGCCCAAAGTTTTATGACACACTTCTAGAACCTAAGAAAAGCTCCATTAGTTTGTATTGAAGTCCCTGTAATTACTGAATAATAAGCCTTAGCATGTAATAAGTCTGGAATGTTAAGGAGTTAACAGCAATTAACCACACAAAATAACGCCATTAATCTTGATTAATTATATTCAATTGTTCTGAATATTATGGAGAATGACAACTTATTCCTTTAATGTTGTGTGTCCTGTCTGTGTTGTTATGATTAATGGCAGTCCTCTGCTGGTCAGTACCTTTGCTGCAGTACTCAAAGTCTGGGCTGGTGCTGGACGGAGGAACTGAAGCTACGGGTGCCGGCACGTCTGCAGAGCCTGCTGGTAGCTTGCTGGAGTTTCTCTGGGTTTTTGGGAGGCTAGGGGTCTACACACATACACACACATACACACACAAACACACACAAACACACACATTTTTGATTTGCTTTTCACTCTGCTAAAATTATTTGACCCCAATAGCCCATCTGAACTTCCTATCCCCATATCCCACTTAAACATTCATAACCTCTTCACTTTGAACAGCAGAGAGGTTCCCTCAGTGCTTACTCACTCCTGCGTTTCATTTCTCGCACTCTCTCACACACACACACCTTCTCCAAAGGAGGCCTGGAGAGTCTCTCACTCACAGTCTCCACCCCTCTCTCTGAAGACTTCAGCTTCTAAAAAGAAGCACAAACAAGAGGTCCTCAAACTCAGGAAAAACTGCAAATGCAACATGATGTACAGTATGTATCAAGAGGTTTAGTTTTTCTAAGATTTGTAAAGAAGTCAAACAAACAAAACATACCAGGGAAACCAGCACTGGGACATTTAACATCTTTTTTAACTCAAAATGTGCAAAAATCCACTATTTAATCTCTTAAATTTCACAAAACCGTGTCTCACTCCTACAGCTTAGGAATAACCCAGCCAGTTTGCATTGTTTTCCATGTAATTACTGAGTAAAAAGCCTTAGGCCGTAATTAAAGTCAAAGAGTTTAAGACGTTAAGAAGGAAATAAAGCCGTTTTTTAAAAGGTATTGATAAAATACGAAGACGCCAGAGTAGACTTACACCAAATCAGCCACCTGTTACTTAGCAGGTTATGCAGTTATTATACACTCTCTGTTATTGTGGTAACACTTTACTTAAAGGGTGCCTAACAACACATAACATCTTACATAAACGCTTCATAACATGTTCATGAATGTTAAATCAATACATTTATAAAGTATACATGTTTAACATGATATTTATATGGACTAATATGTCATTTTACTGCGAGTATTTTTTATTTTGAAAAACTATTTTATTTTCAGTGAAATGCCTCATTTCTGGACAGCCAAAATAAAAGGACCACACTTTATCTCTTTGGTCATTGAGTGCTTTGACACTTTCAACTTCTTAAGCATTTGTATTTTGCACTTTGTTACTCTTTCTCCTTCTTACTTCATGACTTCTTTAAATTTTATTGTGTACATTTTTATTTATTATTAAGTTTAACTGTCCTGGGGTTAAATGCTAATTAATACTTTAGAGATTTTATTTTATTTTTAGTCAGGTTCTTCCTCCTTTATAGTATTGGAGAAGGCACAAGTATAGCTGTATATTGTTCATCTCGTTCAATTGACACTCTTTGAAGTTAAATGTTGCAGGATTCATAAATTCCATTTTGCCTTCACCTCAAAAGTGATAAGTTAATCAGACTGAAATGCATATCATATGGTGTTTTAAATCGCAATGCAAAGTAGTCAACTTATATTCATGTGGTTATCCAGCATCTACAGGAAACCGATGAGTTCTATAGTCCTGTAAAATTCCTTCATGCAATCCCACCACCATACTATGATGCAGTTGAATGATTGTTCATAGCATATTTATTGTAGAGTAATTTACTGTCAAAAGTATAGGTGAAATGTGCTTGAGTGTCAAAGCACTTAATGACCAAAAGGATAAAGTGAGGTCATTTTATTTTGGCTGTCCAGAAATGAGGCATTTTACTGAAAATAACTTTCAAAAAAAAAAAAAAGAGGACTTTTATTTTGAATCTCAGTAAAATTACATGGTAGTCCATATCATATTTCTACATGACCATGATCAATCTCTCTTTTCCCCTTACAATTAAACAGGCTGTTTTGTTACTGCATCTTTAAGATATAAATGACCTCTGTTTTGATTGGCTGATTCTGATTGGCTGTCCTGTATCATGCCTCATTCAAAAAGCAGTCCAGGTTGAAACACTCTTCATAACTTCAGCACAAATGAGTGGGAGTTAAAAGGAGCACTGTATGCCAAATAGGCGGATATACACCGATCAGGCATAACATTATGACCACCTCCTTGTTTCTACGCTCACTGTCCATTTTATCAGCTCCACTTACTGTATAGGTGCACTTTGTAGTTCTACAGTTACAGACTGTAGTCCATCTGTTTCTCTGCATACTTTGTTAGCCCCCCTTTACTCTGTTCTCCAGTGGTCAGGACCCCTATGGACCCTCACAGAGAAGGCACTGCAGTAACACTGACGTGGTGGTGGTGTGTTAGTGTGTGTTGTGCTGGTACGAGTGGATCAGACACAGCAGTGCTGCTGGAGTTTTTAAACACCTCAGTGTCACTGCTGGACTGAGAATAGTCCACCAACCAAAAATATCCAGCCAACAGCGTCCTGTGGGCAGCGTCGCGTGACCACTGATGAAGGACTAGAGGATGACCAACACAAACACTGTGCAGCAGCAGATGAGCTATCGTCTCTGACTTTACATCTACAAGGTGGACCGACAAGGTAGGTGTGTCTAATAGAGTGGACAGAGAGTGGACACAGTGTTTAAAAATCCAGCAGCACTGCTGTGTCTGATAAACAAGGAGGAACAAGGAGGTGGTCATAACGTTATGCCTGATCGGTGTATGTAAATGTGTTGGCTTTGGTGACATCACAAAAACAAATAATTCAAAAGGGAGCTGTTTTTGCAGCTCAGTGTCCACATATGGACTGTATGGACTGTGAAGTGTATGATACACTTTGAAACTTTAACAATGTTTACAAACTACATCAAATTCAGAAAATCTCAGAAAGCCAGAAAAAAATGATTTTTTATGATATGGGACCTTTAATACATTTTACATTCACCATTCTGGAGTAAAGATATTTAACATTTCCGACCTTGGAGGCAGACTCGCCCTCCTGCAGGCTCTTCTCTGTAGGCTCTGGAAGCTCTGGGCTAACTAGAGCAGCCTCGCTTGACTGTTCCTGGAACAAAAAAAAAGTGAGACTGGGGCTGAAGGGGTTAAATAGAAGCAGAAAAACCAAGTAACGCCTCTTCCACAGTCACAAGTGGGTCAGAGCCCCATGTAGGACACGTTCCCTTTTAAAGACCCTGTCTGGATGGATGGGCATGACAATAGTCTGCCGTCTACAGATGAGTCTGCTGAAAGTAGAGCTTGAGCTATTTACGCAGTCCAGATCTGCGGTGGAGAACATATTGTTTTGGAAAACATAGAAGAATAATTTCTCACAGAACTGGACCCACTTTATTTAAAGCATCCCCTACGGCAGCAGGGTTACACGACTGAAATACTAACTGTTACTAATACTGATGCAGGAGTACTAACTAATACTAATAACTGATCATACAGTAAGTGCACAGGTACATGTATGTAAAATCTAGTGAGAAAATGTCATAATCTGTTACTGCTGTTAATCTGGACTTAGTATACGGTCATTAAAGATAGACACATGACCAAAACCCTGAATTTTAGACTTCGTTCACACAGCAGGTAGAAGTGGCCCATACCTGATTTTCGGACCAAATCTGATTTTTTTGTTTGGCTGTTCACAGTATCTTTTAAAGGTGACCTGTATGTGACATCAGTCTGAGCAGATCTGCTCCTAGACTGACCCACATGGGCAAAAGAACAGAGCTTCACGTTGCTTCGTGTGGCTCATCCAGAGGTAAACAATCACGACTGCCAACGAACGCCAGTCACTCCCAGAGGATTCAGTTTCATCTTCATCAGCATCACAGGAGCCATCATGAAGCTTCATTGACTGACAGCTGGGCTCATCACCCAGAATGTGTTCTAACTCGCCGTAAAAAGGGCGCGGTCACTTCTTTGGTTTGTGTCCTCAGATTTTTTAAACTCTGCTTTCAGGCTTTTAACTGTTCTTTGTAGCTGCAGCCTCGTTCTCTTACGGCTGCGTTTGGCCATTTCTTTCAAAATCTCTTCGAACACGGAGGGTTTTGGATACGTCTCTTCTAATATTTTGTACAGAAACATCAGCCTAAATGTTTATGAGGTCTCAGCAGTGCAAAATGATGACAAATCGCATGAATTTTGATCTGGCTGTTCAGACTGAGTCACATTGCCGCATATCGGATTTCAGTACCACATATAAAAGCATCTTGAATCAGAATTGAAAATGTCAGATTCAGTGTGTTTTTGCTGTTCACACTGACACACAGACAACACATCTGTGTCACTTTTGCTGAAAAAGGTCAGATTTGGGCCACTTTTACCTGCTGAATGAACAAAGCCTTAGTGTCTGTATCTGAGCTCAGAACCTACAGCAGGAACAAGAGATATAGGGAGATCATGTGTAACAGGACTAACCTTGGTCAGTGACTCTAGGGAACTCTTACTGAGCGGCAGGCTCTCTGGAGGCTGGGGCTTGTCTGCAGGTACTGGAGCTGCTGTGAGGTTCTGATAGATCTGAAAACCATGAACAGAATCAGAACAGTTTATTAGTATGTTTTCACATACAATTATTTTGTAATGGTGAGAGGTTGAAAAAACCAAACCCACAAAATTTAATATAAAAAAAAATAAAGAAAAATATACACAATCATTTAAGTTTAAGTGTTTGTGCCACAGTGTTAAAAAAACAAGCAATTCTGCCAGCTCTGTTTTCACACATGGACTGTATGGACTGCACAGTGAACAGGTTATTTCGAACCTCTGACATTTACATACATCAAAATAGGGGAGGGGCACTATACACTAAAATGATGTAAAAATAGCATATTTCAGTGTTCTCTGTTGAAGATGTGTTAACTTATTTTCATCTAGAAAATCAATAAAATATGTCATTCGACCAGGGCTGTCCAAACTTTTGCATACATAGAAGTGTGCAATAAAAGTTTGGACCTTCTGGCAGGTCTCGGCCATTCAAGGACATAAAAACAAATCAGCAAATTGCTCTTTGTCAGGTTTCACTAGTGCAACAACAAAGGCTTTCAAACAACAGCAATGCTAACATAAGATGTGCCAATGATAACATTTCTAAAAAGCACAACATGTTTACCAAGTTCTCAGAGAGGAAGTTCAGAAACAGCACCCAACAGTGAATCCTACCATCACTATTTTGTTTATTCCTGACAGTCTTCTAGGATTTGGCCAAAATCATTTTAGACTAACTTTAGTGCACTGGTTTACTTACAGCCTCTCTTTGCTTAGCAGTGCTTCCATGACCTTTAAACCATCATTGGTCTGAGCTGAACAAAGCAAATTCACACTAGACATCATATATTTTCGATACATATTGAATTTGGGCCCAAGGTTATCAAGCTCAGTGTTAGCGACTGCTGATATTGATAATAATTAAGGTATATACTTAATTAAAAGTGCCATCTGAGGATGTAAAATATTAGAAAGTACTAGCAAGCAGTGACTCCTTTAAAAATGTGAAATAATACATTTTCAAAATGTTATATATATATATATATATATATATATATATATATATATATATATATATATATATATACATATATATATATATATATATATATATATAGTTCAACCTTAATGTTTAAGGTTGAACTATATCTGCCACAAACATTCTGAGCTACAATAAGGTTTCACACCATGTTGCTAAAAGTGTACGTCAAATAGCAAATGAATATTTCACAGACAGCCTTGAGACTGTTTAAAGCATTTCTTACTTTAAAGAATATTTAAAATAGTATATAAATAAAGCACAAGAATCACTTTTAGAAGTACAACATTTACTGGATTCTGCAGCAAAATGGAAACGGAGGAATAGATCAAATTAAACTGCACCTCATTAGACAGAAAGGAAGACTGGGAGGGAACAGGTGGTACTGCCATTTGATTGATAGCATCTTCATTCCTGTCAAAAGATAAGAAATATTAAGATGCAGAATGCTAGCAGGCAAGAAAGATCCAGCTGAGCATTAGCTGGAATCATATTTCAAACCAGAGTCATATATATTTAATGTCAAATGTAAGTGTGCAGACCGAGTCCTTTCTCTTTCATATACTAATGAATACACGTAGCAGGGTACTCGATATTTTCCAAGCTTGAGGCATCTGGACTCTGATCTGGAAAGAATCACTGTGAACAGCTTCAACACTGATTTCTTAAAGCCTAAAGAACAAAAAAAAGCAAATCTCCAAATTGTGAAGGATGTGGAAAAGGAGGAAATGTGTCAAGCACTCAGGCGCACCAGAGAGTTAGCTTGCTTTATAAGAAGGAGCTCCTTAGCCTGCAACAGCTGACCTTTATGTCAACAATGCTCTCACCATTTTCTTTCAAGTTGAAGAATGGTGTAGGAGTAAGACCTTTCTTTGTACTGCAAGATGTCACAAAGTTAAATCATACTTCTGTTTGTTCTTCCTTAGGCCCTGCTTCAATACCTGCCTTTACCTACTTTGAGAAGGCGACAGCGAGAGGCAGATTATTCAGAACAGAACATTAGCAGGCTAGCCTTACTGTGCTAACTGCCCATTTATTCAAACTTTGCGATGTAGAATCCTTTCTTGAGGAGTTACATAAACATAAACCCTGTGAATAACTGTCCTGTGTGGCTATAAGCCCAGTGTAGAGCTGTGGTGAACTGCCTTTGTTTTTGTTCCTGTTAGCTGTGTAGCCTTCAGTATGCTAACCAGCTGTGTAGCATTAGCATTCACGTATAAGGATAACAGCACACTATACTGCTGAAAGTATGTGGAAACCCCTCCTAATTATTGAGTTCAGGTGTTTTAGCCACACCCATTGCCAACTGGTGGATAAAATTAGCACTGGCAGTAGAATGGGTCGTACCGATGAGCTCAGTGACTTTAAACATGGCACACTGTCATAGGATGCCACCTCTGTCACAAGTCAGTTTGTGAAATTTCTGTCCTGCTAGATCTGCCCCAGTCAACTGTAAGTGCGTTATTGTCAAATAGAAGAAGTGTCAAGGAGCAACAACATCTCAACCATGAAGCAGAAGACTGCAAAGTCAGAGCGGGGCTGCCAAGTCCTGAAGTGCACAGCACCTATCCTCCAAACTGTTCCAAAATGTCCCTGGAAACAATATCAGCAAAAGAACTGTGCATCTGAACTTCACAAAATGGGTTTTTTTATGGCAGAGCAGCTGCACACAAGCCTAAAATCAAAATGCACAACACCAAACGTCAGGTGCAGTGTAAAACACTCCGCCACTGTACTCTGAAGCAGTGGAAACATGTTCTCTAAAGTTAAGAATCAAGCTTCATTAAAGGGGAGTCTTATGGACAAATCTGTGTTTGGCAGATGCCAGGAGAACCGGAATGCATAGCACCAACAGTAAAGTTTGGTGGAGGAGGGATAATGAGCTAGGGCTGTTTGGGCCCCTTAGTTCCAGTAAAGGGTCATGTTAATACTACAGGACATGAAGACATTTTAGACAATGATATGCTTCCAACCTTGTGGCAGCAGTTTGGAGAAGGACCTTTCCTGTTTCAGCATGACTGGACTGAGCCCCTGCGCACAAAGTGAACTCCACAAAGACATGGTTTGACGACTTTGGAGCGGAGGAACTCCAGTGACCCTCACAGAGCCCTGACCTCAACCCCACTGAACACCTGTAGGATGAACTGGAACATCGATTGTGAGCCAGGCCCTCTCGTCCAACATCAGTGTCTGACCTCACAAATTTTGACTGAAAGGGCACGAATTCCCACAGAGAGATTTCAAAATGTTGTGGAAAGTATTCTCTGAAGAATGAAGGCTATTATAGCTGCAAGGGGGTGGGGTGGGGCGACTCCATATTAATCGCCATAGTTTTGGAATGGGATGTCCAACCAGTTCATGTGTATAGGTGTCCACTTCTGGCCATTTAGTGTAGTTTGCAACCTATAGCTCAGCAAATGTTCTGTTTTTGAATTATTAAGCATTTTAAAGTAGTTTACTGCTGTGGCTAACGTGTCTTTGTCCAGCTTTTATTTATTTTGGGTTTCAAAAAGGGAAATGCATCAGGTCGCAATGATTTCTGGGCATGTTTTGCTGTCGACACTTGTGTTCACTCGATCTCTTGCTCCTCTGGGGGCTCACTGAACACCCTTTACTAGAGCTAACGAAGTAACAGAACGGCCTTCAACATGGCGTCAGGGATTCGCTCGAGGGGAAATGGGTGATTAGACAGTGCACAGCTGAAGGACAAAGCTTTGAACTGAACTGTGCATTTTATTATCAATATATTATTCATTCTAAATCTACAGGCTTACGCAAGAGTTTGAACACACTTGGTCAAACTAATTTTCTGAAAGAAAATAAGTAAAAACATCCTCTACAGGGAACAAACCTCAATATGGGTTTTTAATGCAAATTTTTATGCATAGTTTTTTTTTTTGCTTTAACATATTGGAAAAATACAAAATTTACCATGTGCAACTTTTGTATAGGCCCCATTTTCTGTTTTTTTTTTTCCAATATGCTAAATTTATCAAATAAACAGTAACTGTGCATTAAAATGTGCTGAATTGTTTTAACTTATTTCACTTCGAAAATCAAAGACACGTTTAATTTAACCAGGGGCCCCAAACTATTGCATATGACGGTATCTCTATCAATGTCTATCAATACCATATTGATGTAGGGGGAAAAAAAAAAACATCCTTCTCCTAACAAATGCATGCACTCAGTTACAATCCAGAGACCAAGGTACACAATTAGTCATTGTTCGTTAAGCCCACTGATTTCAGTGGACCTGTTCCCTAGACTTGCTTCATCTCAGCCTGTTTCTCCCATTCTTCTCTGCTCCATATGTTCAGGGCAGGTTTTTGAAGCCTAGCTGAATACAGTGGCAGCTGTTAATATGCCAGACTAAGGTCTTATGTGTATAGCCTAACAAGCGGACAAAACAACATGGCAACACAATCAGGCCTCCATCGAGAATGTGTCAGCTATCCAAGCAGCTACAAGACACACAGCACAAGGGACCAGGCTGCACTGTAGCATGTAGAAGATTCAGGAAATACAGCACATGGATTGTATTAAAGAGAACAATTGTGTATATTTGTGCGTTTCCATGAATCAAAAGCAACTTTATAGTTTAAGCTACAAACGGAACCACCATGTAAAAATTATAAATATACACAGGATTTTAATACCTGAGGGAATTAAAAGGTCATAAAAAGCTGAAATCACTGACATTCAGCATAATTGCTTGCAGCCTTATTAGGGCTACCCAATATATCAACTGAAACAAAGGCAGAACTTTGTAAGGAGCCGGGGAAGACGTAGTTCATTGTAATTATGACGTTTCCAGCTACTCGCCTGATAACAGCAGAATTTAAAACACTGAAAGATGGTTAGAATTATTTCTGTTGATGTTTAGTTTTAATTTGCTTGCTGTTTACATTTTATACTTGCTGATTGGTAACAGGCTCTACCTTACATTCCATCCATTCATCCATATTTTGCCCCACTGTTGTAGGTATTTATCTTGCCCATGCCACAGGCTGCAGTCAGTAATAATGATAGCCAGCACATGCCAAAGTATCCGCATCTTCTTCAAACACGCCATCCACACAGCAATTCTGGACAGCTCAGCCTGCTTGGAGAAAAGCCCTCGCAGACTAATTCCATGCCGAGCAGATGCCCAGATTGGCTTGCAAATCACTTGTATAGACAGAAGTACAGGGGGGGACCCTGGCACCCATCCTACCCAGTGACAGCATGGCCAACTGCGCTCCCTCAGAACCCTGGCCATGGCACCAGAGACACACACTCAGGTCCCAGCAGGAGAAGTAGCAGCTACATTTTGAAAAATGCAACGAAAACAGAATAAACAAGCAGTTCATCCCAGGATGTTTCTCTTTTTTCTGTAATTTTGAGGTACACAATTTAACAATATGCTCTTCATATAATACAATACTGTGCAAACATCAGAGACCTACCCCTCATTTATTTAACTTCTAGTTAAAACAGGTATTAAGGTTTTTTTCTTTTTTTAGGAGATGTTTCTGAGTAGATTAGATATAAGATAATCCACTTGCATAAAGAGAGGGAAAGTTAAAGGAAAACAAGACACAGGAGTTTCTAAAACATGAGCTCAGAATCCTTAAAAGCTACAGAGAAAATGGGACTCCTAACAACCATGCAAGACCTGGTAGACACCAAAACTGTCCCCATCAGATAAACACATTTAAAGCTTTCATCTTTGAGAGAGGAGAAAATCAAGCTGCTTCAGATATATTGGATTGTCAGAGACAGAAAATGCAACCGACTTCTAAGACGGAACTTTGGAGGTGTGGAAAAATATCCAGATTGCTTTGAAAGACTGAAAGTGAGTCTCCTGAAAAGAATGGAAGCTGTAATAAAGGCAAAGAATGGACACATTAAATACTGAAAAAAAAAAAAATCACATACAGACATTGAGGCTTCTGTTTACCTTTCTGTTAAATATGCATTTCGGCTTTAGTCTTGATGCTGAAACAGGAATAAATAACCTTTTCTTATGGGCTGTTTTGACTGGAAATGAAATGAATGAAAGGGTGGTCTCTGACTTTCGCACAGGACTGTGTTTGCACACAAAATGCACACAAAGCAAATTACAAAGCAATTAAATTCTCAACAGACTCTGGATATGGATATTCTGGATATTCTTACTTTGTCCATGTTTTTGTCCAAACAGACTTGCTAGATATCTACACCTATATCCCTATGGAGCAACTTCAGCAGCAGGGATCAGCTGGAAACCCATTACCTCTTAAATCAAGTTCTCAGACTGCTCAGCCACTGCTACCTCTCTGAGGGGCTTTTCTACCACAGACCCTAATCTTTACCTTACATTAAACCCACTGAAAGTCAGCCGCTAAAAAGGAAACTCTCAAAGTGCAGGAGGACACATGAGAACCAAGGGC